AAAACTTGGATTATATTATAATTCTTACATATACAAGGTGTTTGTAAATAAGTGCGAAATATTTCAAGAAGTGGCTGCCCAAGTTATTTTGTGAAAAAAGTTTATATAAACGTAGGTCGATATATACTTCGTTTCCGAGATACAGTGTTACAATTTTTATTTTTTATTTATTTTTATTAACTACTTCAGTGTTTTAAAGATATTGACTCGAAATTTGAAAAACGCTTTGGAGGAATAAATGTGCATTTTTGGGGGTGATCCGAATATTTCTACTTGCATCAGTGACGTTCGTGCGAGAATGTCACAACCTTTCTTTAAATAAAAAAATGGTACGTCAGTGACTTCTCTTCTTGTTTTGATATTTTTTTAGAAATCAGTCATCAATTCTGAATGAAATTGGTCTCCTCAATTTTTTTCGTAGGATGCACCGTTTTTGAGAAAAAAATATATATTTTACTGCATTGTGTATTTTTAACTTCTATTGATACATTATTAGGTTGCTATCAATATTTCTAAATAAAATACAACTATCAAATATCGAGTCAATATCATTAAAACTTTTTGAAATAATTAATAAAAACAAATAAAAAATTAAAATTTAAACATTCTGTATCTCGGAAACGAAGTATATTTCGACCTACGTTTATATAAACGTTTTTTCACAAAATAACTTGGGCAACCACCCCTTAAAATATTTCGCACTTATTTACAAACACTCTGTATATAAATACATGAGATGTCGTCTTCTTTTTTAAAAATATCGACAAACGAAATACATATACATTTGCAACTTATGATTGCTCCAACAAATATCTTCTTCAAAAAACAATGTACTGCATTGTTTATTTCACCTAAGATTTTCCGCTTATTTTATGTGTGTTTTGTCAGTTCTTGACTATCTCTTAGAGTTTATGTCTTTCAGTGATATTCTGTGACAATATTTTTCAGGTTAAGTTTTTTTGCAATTACTATCAATTAATAGCACAATGTTAAACTTAATCTTGCATAAAAATGACACACTTGTTAAAATCGCTTAAATCCACCATTTTTTGAGGATGACGATTGACTGTCCTAAAGTCAATTTAGATGAAATTTACATCAATCTACCTTGGTACTATTCTGCTTCCTTAAAAAATTACGTATCTTTAAATTTATTTGGTTTTGAAGACCTGTAACCTTTTAAGTAAGCAAGATTGTGTCAAAGTAACTTGATCTAAATCAGTTTGTTTTCATCCAAGAAAGCTATCCTTGAAGTATCGTCCATACGTTTGCGGGCACCCTGTACATTAAGGAATAGAATCTAGTTGACTTTGGTACACTCAACTTCGCTTTTCTCAAAAACGGGGCGTTTTCGATCATTCTAACAAGAGTATCTTTTTTATATACCTACAAAAAAATTACATGCTGATTCAAGATCTCCGCAACATCCCGTATATAGATATAGCATTCTAAAAAATTGCTTTCGGTGATTGAATGAATGAGTTGATTTCAATATTCTCCATCTTCGTGGATGAATTTTCAAAAACGATATTTTTTTTTAATTATTTTTATATCTTCTGTCCGCTATTATTCATATTTATCTCCGCAGTTAGGCAACTGAGTAGACCTGAGGAGCTACTACAGAGCCTTCATAAATGTGTATAAGGCAGGTGACCGCCGAGCTTACGCAATCCAACAATGCACGATTGGTACTGGTAACGAAAATTCCATAAATCTTGACGTCATTAATATCAATGATTCGTTTCCAATGGACAATGACTAACTGTTCGAAATAATGCGATCGGTGATTGGTTGAATAGAATCTCATGAAAATTTGCACCTATCACAGCCTGTGAAACAGAATATATTGTGTTTCAACGTAATCTTGGCCCTATTGTTTTAATTTTACCGAAATTTATTTATCAACAAAATTACTGTTCAAAAATCACTGGTCACGTGATTGTAATCATTTATAAAGGCTCTCAAAATTATTTCGATGAATCTAGTTCGTAGTTAAAAGATCTTATTCTACCCGTGGTTAATTTAATTTCAAAAAGACGATAAATAAACGGTTGTACGGTCTGGTTCAGTAATTAGTATTGTAATAATAACAATGAAGAAACGACTGCAGTTTTTTCACCTTGCAAATGTAGGTTAATAGGTACTTAATTCTATTAGATACCACTTTTACATACGCCTAATAATTCGAGTAGTGTTGTAATTTTTATAAAACAATTATGCAAGGGCTTAATTAATATTCAACGTCATTCCTCATAAAAAAACTAGTAAGAGAATAGCCACTTACCAAAATTTTTCGCGTAGTAAATCACTTCTGTTTCTGATGTACAGGGTCGGACAAATTCGACACTTCAGGGATTTCTCCTATTTCCTGAAAAGAAAGAAGAATTCGAGAAAAATCGAATGACGAAAACAGCGTCTCATTATTTTGATTCGTTTAAGAAACACAGGGCGTTTACCAATTTTGGCCATTTTTCTATTATGTCCTATAACTGTCTTGTTTGTGAAAATAGTTCATTTTTGTAAATATGATTTTTACACGTTTTTTACGTTGAATCCAATGGCGTACATAATACTTTTTGTTTCGGTTTTGCAGTGATAACGCAGACTTATATTTTTTTAATGGAACACCTTGCATATTTTTCTCTTTTTAAAACATACATAATGTTTACACAAAAAATGTCTTTTAAGAAATAAACGCCAAACATTATTATTTTTATTTCATTATTCAACCGTTCCTTGAGACAGTTAAAAAAAATAACTGTTGGTGTTTATAGCATGAATAAAAATGTATGTAAATATGTATGATACACCTTTTATTATTATAAAATATATAGGGTTTACCTATTTCATTAAAATACAAGTTTGTTATAAAAGAAAAACTAAAACAAAAACTGAAGAAATCGCGTGTGCCGCTGGATTATACATAAAAATTGCATAAAAAAACACAAATAGCAAATATTTTCACAAACCAAAAAGTGATAGACCACCACAGCAAACGACGAAAATTGGAAAACGTCCTGTATATCTTAAACGAATCGAGATATCGGGACGGGGTATTCGCTATTCTTCTCTCGGAAAACGATCATGTGACGTCCAAACTACATTTTTTCTATTTTTTCGGAAAATAGATCAAACCCCCCAAAAGTGTCGAGTTTGACACTCCTGAGTCCTGTATACTACCATTGAAAACTTAAAAATAAAAAAACATATTTTTTTAAATACCTACTTACCACATTCATTATTTTTACATGTACTTGTATTTCGACTAAAGACTAACTGAAATTAGCAAAACAATCCGCTTGTGAACAACAGTAGAATATTTTTATACCCATGTAAGTTTGTCTACTATTTTTGTTGTGGATAAAAAGCGCGTATAATAAAAAAAAAACAACTACTATGTTTTACGTACTATTCTTATACTATGATGAAAATAATCGATATCAACAGAAATCAATTTCGTCTATAGTTTACGTTGTTTACGATATTTTCTTAAGTGACGCCGTAGTTATTTCACGGTGTAGTTATTTTACGTACATATCAAAAAACATTTTAATTTGACCAATATTTTTAGTTTACTTACCTAAATTTCCAATATTCAGCATTCATATTCACTCACTACTCACTACACTTACACTATAGAAAAACAAAAATTGTAACATTGAGCAAGGAGCCATCGCCATCTCCTAAGCCCCGGAAACAAATGCGAAAAAAGAGAACATTTCTTTCTGTTAATTAGGAATCACGGAAAATGATAAGTGATTTCTTTTGATATGAAAGTGACTGATTTCTAACTAGCTACATAACATGACGGTTATATTTTCATTTGTTTATATAGCTTCATATATTGACAATGACTACTCACAGTTTAATTAAATTATAAACCTGTAGCTATACTTACGATATACATGAAATTTAAAGATGTGCCTACACTGTTGATGTTGAGATGTAAAAAATTACTTTCAGTTTGTTAAACACCTATTTTGTATTCAGTGCCCATGTCCATAGTATGTACGTACAGTATGAAATCTCATGGAATAGAAATCTGAAGGTTTTACTAATACTGATTGAACTATATTAACTATGGAAAAAACTCCACACATAAATATGTTTCAAATACTATATAACTATAATGATATTTTGTCTTTCAATATTTTTTAAGGATCAAGAAATATTGGACTTCTTTTAGATAATATCTATAACTCATTACTTGATTGCTAATAAATATTATCCAAACCTTACATTTTGACTAACCCTCGTAAGCTTGTCTTTTAATTTTCCCGCGAAGAAACGTTACACACTTTCGTAGCCTTGGGAACTGACAGGTGCAGTCGTGATCGTTCGTCTTCGTCCTACTTATTGCATCACAACATTTTCTCTTTCGTGAGACGCCATAATAAACAAAAAGAAAACAATGAGTAGACCATGTGCCAAAACAAAGAGTGTTAACGTTCATTTTTTCAAAAACTTTTAGTTTTTTTTTGGTTTTCCTTGGTTGTATTTTAGTAAAATTAAATTTTTAAACTTTTATAAGTTTATTTGTGCAGTGCTTCCTACTTTTAAAGAGTTACTTAACAGTTCTTATAATGTTTGATAATTGGTTGGCTGCCATAAAAAATCATACGAATAATTTAAGTGATGCCATTAAAGCCAAGTCACGCCGTATTTCGAGTAATATAACTTCGTTTAAGAACCAGTTTTCACACAAAAGCAAAACTACTTATTATACCGTCGCACAGAAGGAAGATAGTGATTATTACGACAACGATTTTTTGTCACCAAGAGCGTACTCTATGACTACTTTTAGCATGGATTACAATGCCGTTAACGAAAATATGAATTGGTTTCCTTATGTGCCACCGTCTTACGATGAACAAAATATTGTCGACCGATTTATTCGTGTTATTACCATCGATGATGAAAATAGCATGGATGTGAGTCCATACATTAGGAACGTCTATTGCAGTATATGCTTTTTATAACTATCATTAATTTTTTTACAGAGAAGAACAGACCGAGAAGAAATTCGACGAAGGTTAGCAATGGGCTCCGAAGACGATTACTATACCGACAGGCCTGGTCGCAAACCTAGTTTACAAGCTCGACTGCAGAGTGGTAAGTTATTAGTACCTATTGATAATTAGTATTCCCCCTCTCCTTTTTTTTTAAATTATTAATTTTAAAAAATGTTTACACATGATTTGTAATATTTTTTAACTCTAAGAACGTAGTGCCACTGTTTTTTTTTGTATTCTTATGTGCTCTCTTAAGTTTTTTGTATTTTTTATACACTTTTGTAAGTTTTTAAGGAATGTCTGTTTTTGGTGATTGACATTTCGAGATATTTGCATAAGAGATACAATTTTAATTCAATATATTAATCACTTTTACTTTTAACAAACTTCATTATTTTTTGGAATTTTAATATTTTAATAACAATAATTAATAAAAAGAAAAGATTCACTTTTGGAATGAAAAAAAATAGTCATATAAAATCCACTTGAACTTATCATTGAGCTGATTTAAAATAATTGCTTTCCAAGAAATTTATGACACATACCTATGTATCTTTTTGATAACAATGTTTGTTTAATAAATTCATGGAATTCATTGAATAGTAATGTGAATTATTTATCTTTTAAATATTTTATAAAGTCTTAACAGAAGAAAGTGAAAATAATTTGAATTTATGCTGTAATCTAAATTTTTTATAAATAATCTGTTTATTTATTACATTATGTGTTGCCATTTTTTAATCGTAAGGTTTGAAAACATGACGGGCATTTTAGTTATAACTATATTTTTAGTACGTAATTCTGTACAAAATAGTATTAAATATAAATGATATAAACTAATAAGGGCCAATGACACTAAAATTTAAAGAATATTTTCATTTATTATGTCAACAAAATAATATTTTTTGAAATTAGGTATATTATTTTAACTGTAGTTTCTCAGAAAAATAATATGAAATAAAAAAGAATAATAAAGTGATCAATTTCAATGGATAAACAGTCAAATAGTCAATGGATGGATATCCTATATTATAGTCCCCATGTTGTCCAGATTTGAACCTATCTATCTTTTTGTAACAATCTATTCTATTGGCATTTACCATTTACAATTTTTTTTTTAATTTGTTGCATAAAAATATTCTTGGGCTGATTGTTGTGTTATTATTACCTTTAAAGTTCTATAACAAAAAAAGCAGCATTTAATGTAATAAATAAAGGATCGTCTTTTTCTTAAAAATGCCAAAGAATTCGGTATCTGCCAATATGTACACCGGTGATAAATATACATATTCATCGGAGTGTAATTTAATGGACTATTACATGATCAAGAAAAATATTTATTTTTAAACTATTACCAAAAATAGTTTTATTACTATTTTCTTAACTTGAACATCTAATAACTTCAAAACTATTAACTTTTTGACAAATTTTGAATTAAAATGAAAAATGAATCGCACCTTCATTTTTCTAGGAATGAATCTCCAAATTTGTTTTATGAATGAGACTGTCTCAGACAATGAGAGCCCCAACTCAGACTCGGAATGTCCAATGACGAACCCGAAACAACCAAAGACTGCTATGCCAAAGACCTCGGGTTTCTACCCATCATATCAAGAAAAGGTAGTCCCTCCCCCAGCTAGACCTGCCACACTCTCAATCGGTCAACCCCTGTTGCAGCCCGTTAAAGAACCGATGACCGAGACTGACTTCTTCACCAGACAGGCAAGACTGCAAACCGAGGCCCGAATGGCGCTTGCTCAAGCCAAGGAGATGGCCAGGATGCAGATGGAGGTATGTTAGAAATTACCTGTCATTCATGTCCAAAAAAATTACAGTGGTGTTGATCAGGTGTACCTCAAGGCATTCACTTGGGACCTCTGTTTTTTTTTTAAACTTATTTTTGAATATTAACGAGTCTTTCTTCCAGTGCAAGTTTTTACTATTTGTGTAATCCGGATAGGTTGCCACATCATCTGTTTAGACTTCAGTTTCGAGGGACATATCGCTCTTTTCACTGGTCAAAGATTAATGGAATGGAAAAAATACTTTATTGTATCTGTTTGAGGCCAATTTTAATTTTTTGTTTTGCATATTTGTTTGAAATTTTTTTCTTCATGGGTGGTAAAAGTTAAGGTATCAAATATTTACAATTGTCTTTTTTTTTAGATTGAAAGGCAGAGGCAAAAGAAAAGCCCAATAACCGAAATGGTCCGTCACAGCCTAGAAAAAGTCGGCATACCCTTCCCCGAAGAGAAAAGACGATTATCTCGACAAATCCTCACCGAAATGAACGTAGCTCAACTGCAGGTTATAGTGAATGATCTTCATACTCAAATCGAGACTCTGAACGAGAGTTTAGTTAAATTTTTAATGGACAGGGATGATCTTCATATGGAGCAGGATTCGATGCTTGTGGATATCGAAGACCTTACCAGATATTTGTAAGTGTATTTTTTTTATTAATGTGGATTGTTCCCATAGTTATAAAATATTATGAAACCCCAGAATTTTATCATATTTGGGAGGGAGGGTCGCTAATATTTTTAATTATATTTTTTTTATATTTGACTTTTTTGTATTTTCAATATCAAAATCGAAAACTTCAAATAGTGTGTGCCATACACGAGAAAAATCTATTTGAAATGTTTGTTTTTTTGCATGATATTTTCAAAATTACAATTTGCTAATAATTAGTGGTTGGCTCCCTTTGCTGAAGTTCATCCTCAGTTTCCACAGGAGTATCGTAAATCCATTGTTTCAATTCACTCCAGCAGAAATCCAATGGATTTAATTCTGGTGATCTCGGCGACCAGGACTCGTGGTCCTGATCTATATATTCACTGGTCTGAACAATCTCTAAGCGCTTATGCATACAATTTACTTTTCATCACTTTCATCTGTCTCCGAGTGTAGTGGATTTGATAAGCAATTGATTGGAAATGTGCATTTTGTAAAAATGGTTTTATGAATTTCACCGAATGATACATAATTAATTTAAAAACATTTTCTTGAAATTTTGATAGAAGTGCATGTTTCCATCAAAGAATCTAAAAGCATGGTCTCCTCTCAAATATTTATTTTATTTCAGAGGAGCCAAGGAACAAGTCCTGAAGGAACAAACTCTTGCCCCGACTAGAAACAACAACACGACCCCACCGTCACCAGCGCCCTCTTCGCCACTGTCCGCTCTGAACAGTACCGTCAAGCCACACCTCCACAGGATAGCCAGCCTGGTGAAGAAATAACTACTACCGGACTAAGGCCTTTCGTTTGTACATACTACTTCACGATTGCTTATACTGATTATTTGTATTTTGTGGACGGGAGGTCGAGATCCGCAGCGTTGTTGAAGTGAAAGCACAGGGTGGTCGACTTAGACAAAAGTTTCAACGGGAAGGAATCTAGTGGGATAGTGTCGTTGATGGACTTTGCGCAGAGAAAAATGATGATGTGGTCTTGTACGCTACTTATTTTTGTATGCTGCTTTCTGTTTTAGTTTTTTAGGTAAGTGAATTTTTTTGACGGCCCATTTTTATTTTTTTGACATTTTTTTTAAATAGGTGGAAACGTTAATATACTAAGAATTCTTTGATTTTCAATGTAGATATATAAAAAAAAATATTAAAGAAAACAATAAACTGTATAAGGAGCAATCGACTGTCAAATGAAGAGAGTATATTGTAAAACAAATTATTTTACTAAATAATTTCCTAAAAATTTGTAGGATTTTAATCCCTGAAAGTGAACATTTCATTTAATCACCCAATACATAAATTTTAATATTAAAGAAAAACTAGAAAGTGACCTCTCGCTCGTGCCTGCGCTGCGCAGTGTAGTCCCTGCTATAAATTTTTTTTTAAACACCATGTATGATAATCCTACTTAAAAAAAAAGTAGGATTTTCTCGCGGTCTTTCGGCTTAGCAGACGGAAGCTTACAAATGAGCTGTGGAGGCATATCGGTGGGTGGAACTTATACGACCTCTTTCAAAGTTTGGGTCTCTGTAAGTGTAAAATTTAGAAGTTCAAATTTTTATCGCTATAATATCGTCTCTGAAAAACTATTATATTAGCAAAATAACTACTAATCGCGATCCGACTGTCCCGGAAAAGTGCCGAAGGACCAAATTCGTTTTGACATCTTCACTGACGTTTGTCCCCATCTTTGTCTAATCATCGGATGTAGTACGGGTCTCTCTCACACCGAAAAAAGTATTTGAAATATAGGCTCGCTGCTTTGCGGCTCATGAGAATAGTCGTAGGTAATGCGAAACACCCCTTCTTGAGGGTGAGTATAGGTGCGAGAGTAACGTACAGCATTTGATACACTGGGTGTTTCAGAGTTGAAGGGGCGAAAGCCTAGGGGAGATTCCGCTCAGAAAAATATGTAAAAAAGTTCATATGAACATGGGTCTCTCAAGTGCTTTGTTTCCGAAATACAGGGCGTTAATTTTTTTTTGATTTAGTTTTAAAAAAACGCTTTAGCCGATTTGAATGAAATTTTTATGGTTTATGTAAATATTACATAAAAATCGCAAAAAAACTACAGGGTGATATTCTTTTCTACAAAAAAAAAAAATTGCTCGCTGGATACGCCCCTGAAAATTCTGGATCAAATCTAATTGGTCCAGTTGAAGTATGGTAATTGTTTTAATAAACCGTAAACATTTCATTCAAATCGGCTACAGCGTTTTTTTTAAATATAATCGGCTCGCCAGGTGACGCAAATGACGCACCGCTTCACCTAAAATTTCCGTTTGGTTGTAATTATTTTTAATTTTATATAAATTTTATAATTTAGATATAATTCTATATTAAAAATGTATTGTGTTGTTTTATACGCAGAAATAAAAAGAATAGCGCGAAAATCAACCTCGTACCATACAACGTATAACATAAGCAAGTGACGTGGATCGAAATCAGTTTGTATTTCGCTTCACTTTATAGTGTTGTTTGCGGTGGTTGTCATGGCAATGAGGCGTCCAACACATGAGTAAACCACGGCGTAGGGGAACGAGTGATGCAGAAATTGAAGCAGCATCGCCTGCCTTTAAACAGATACGTCGCGTAATGCACGATTATAACGGTTCTTTGTTAATATGTATTTGTTTTGTATCAATAATTGTAGAAATGTTTCCTATGTATGATTTTATTGGAAACGCCATTTTCCATATGGAAAATTGAGGACAAAAAGGATTTTTTAAATTTCTCTCAATGTGGAAAAAAGGGGGAGTCAAAAGACAAAGTGTACGTTTGGAAGTTTCGGAATGAATGGTATTCGGAGTATAAATGGTTGTGTGGGAATGTTTATTTAAAAAAACTTTTTTGTATGCCGTGTTTAATTGTGTTTTTATTTTTTATAAATCTAAATGAAAATCCTTCTCGTGAACGTCAGTTTTTTGGAAATATTGCAAATGCAACTAGAAATTTCCAGATCGTTTAAAGCCATTTGACCTTGAAAATTTGAAAATTTATGTCTGCAGCGCTTATTTTTTCTTTTTAATCAATCAATGAATATGTTTCACTTATTCTCAATGTCACGAGCCGCCACTGGTTCCATATTCATATGAACATTTTTTATATCTTGTTGAGCGTAATCTCCCCTAGGCTTTTGTCACTTCAACTCTGAAACACCCAGTATAATGATAATATTATTTTCAAGCAGTTAGCCATATTTTCCTCAACTGACAGTCAATTGTTCTTTTCCAAGGCCTACCACAGTTTTTTATAATACATTGTACTATCGATTCTTCTTTTGAACCACCGCAAAATAAATACCATTTCATATTTTTGGATTAACCTCTCAGTGCTCAAAGTGCTTTCATAAAAACCCTCGCAACGTTCGCAGTAAATTGGCCAATTGCGAATGTACATGCTTGGAACAAGCCAGTATTTTATTACCTAGAGATGCCTAAAAATTTATTACAAAGAAAAAATAAAATAAAAAATATCAAAAGTAACACCCAGATTTTGAGAGAAAGACAGGATGATCCTACAGAGTAATAAAAATTTGTATGTGGGACACACGATTGGCGCCGTAAATGTCCATAAAAACATACGACACATTAAAACGCATTGAGCCATTGCATTGGGAGTGTAACACTAAAAGGGTTTAGGCCGGTCGTCCTTTGGATCCATTCTCGTCCAAATTTGATTCGTCAGAAATCGGATGAGAAAACTATTTTCCAAAAGATAAGTATACAGTAAGACCCCGCTTAACGCGTAGGATACGTTCCATCAAAGTAGAGCGTAATGCGAAACAGCGCATAACGAGGCTATCTTAACATGTAAATAATGGGGTTAGGGGAAGATGGATAGAAAATTGGTTAGGTATTAAATTATAATTATGTTTTTTTTAATAAAAATAAAACCAAACATTTATTTCTTACAAAAATAAAAACAATATAAACGAATATTACTTATAAAAACAAATAAAATTCTAAGTCAGTCAGATCATTCAGTCTATTCTGTGTTTCCAATTTTCTGCCTTTTGTCAAGAAGGCATCTAATGTAGTTTGCGTTTTCCTTTTGCGTTCTGTTGGAAGCTGTTGATAAGTGGATAAAGCATCTATAAATAACACCCCGTCTTGCTTTTGAACTCCTGTCAAAATTTGGATTATTTTATATTTGGAAACCTAGCGCTGCGCACAATTTCGGGGAATCCCCGTAGTGCTGCGAGCAATTTCGGGGAATCCCCGGGTTGAAATAAAAGAGCGCTAAACCGAAACAGCNGTTTATGTGGGACACACGACTGGCGCCGTAAATGTCCATAAAAACATACGACACATTAAAACGCATTGAGCCATTGCATTGGGAGTGTAACACTAAAAGGGTTTAGGCCGGTCGTCCTTTGGATCCATTCTCGTCCAAATTTGATTCGTCAGAAATTGGATAAGAAAACTATTTTCCAAAAGATAAATATATATTATTAAAAATTATAATATGCTGATTTAATAAATCAGTATGTACGATTGACTTCTGCAAAGCAAAAATTTGTCCAGTGGACGATACCATATGGGCGAAGTCTGCCAAAATTATCAGTCGTGATTTTTGACGAAAACGTGTCCAAAGGACGGCCAGTCTTATGTTGATTCACAAATATTATGAAGAATATCCATTAACCTCTTTGTGCCAAATTTTCAATAAAATTGCTAATATAGTTTCAACTTTTGGGGGTATAAAAGTAACTACAGTAGGCCTTGCATTTGTACTCAAATGGCATAAAAATTTTCATTTGTGCAATATTTTGTTATCTTTTCATTGTGTCCACTTGAAAACGAACACATTGTATATTTCCAAATAACGATGTAAAAATTTTGAAGCACTCCTTTAATATTTTTTCAGTAATTGAGAAAAGTCATTCTATAAGTAAAAATGGGCCCCTATAACTATTATCCAGCAGCTCATGCATCATTTCTATCTAAAAATGTTTATTAAAGGGAATATCATATATTTCGCTTGTGGTCTAAGTCTAAATTTCTAAATATGTTACAAAAATATATGAATATATTTTTACACTCAAAACTTTGCCAATTATTTGTCAAATCGATATTTTGGCAATGTTTATCTTTCCTAAAACTAATGGCGGTGATAATGTTGCATTAAAAATATTAAAAGGATAATACTAAAATTATTTTTATTGTAGCAAAAAGTGGCATTTTTTTTAAAATTTTCAACAAATTTTTTTATTGTATCAAAATTTTCATCTTTATGGTTTAAATTTATTAATCATTTTCCTGATTTATGTTGTAAAATGTCGAGTTTGTGAAGTGGTTTTTTTGGGATGAAAAACACATTTCTGTTACAATAAATACTTTCCTGATATCTTTAAATGTAGAACGTTTGTTTTGCACTCTTCACTGACGAAAGTACGCCGTCGTTTATTTTGAGCCTGATGTGATTAGAAACATATTTAATTTTTTTTTAATACAACAAAGTGAAATATATGGTATAATATACACCTTGACTAGATATTTTTTAACAAACACTTCATATAGTTGTTTTCATCAATTTAGCGAGTACCTTAGTGATATTAATTTTAGAATATTTATTTTTTATACTTTTGACATATCAGTGTAGGTTTTTTTTAGTGACTCCTTACATCATCGTATTTCTTGTATATATAAAAAACTACATAAGTAAGAATATGTAGATGTTGAGCTTACACTACTATATAATTGTGTTCCTTTGAATTTTGAGAAAAGTGTTTTCCTTGTCGGGCACTACATTCGGTCGACTAGAGGGACGAAATGCAACAAGTCAGTTGTAAATAATGGGAATATAGTGGACCGTAATGGGATGGGTTGTGTGCAGTGCCCGATGAACTTCTAATTCGTAATGTTCGACAATATCAATTTCTGCATGAACCAATTTTAACTGATAATTTTATATAGTGTGAATGGATGGAAGATTGAAATATTTTTTGTTGTTGTCAAGATACAAAAAATGGCCACAAAACTTTAAAATCAAAATTTTCGAAAAAGGTTTATGACATTTTAATAGCCAAATTTTAAAGTCTGAATAATTCTGTTCATATTTCATTTGAAATATAAGGCTTTTTTTCGCGAATGACATACGAAATGTTGTAGTATGTGTAGTATGAGTGAAAAAACATCAGTCTGAAAAAAATTTGAGGATTTATAAAAAATGTCAGTTTTTATATAAAAAAAAAAATTTTAAATGGTAGAGAATTTTTTTTTTTTTCGAAAATTGAAAAAAAAACGGTGAAGATAGGTCCAGATAATTTTGATCTATTTTTTTTTCAAAATACATTTAAAAACAAAAATTTTGAAAAAAAAAAAACGTCCCCATAACTCAATTTTTGGAAAAGTTATGGTTATTTAAAAAAAAAACAATTTTTCAAAAATTCATAACTTTTTCCGAGTTGGGTGAAAAATTTGAAAAAATTCTCAATTTTCATTGGGGTAGAAAACAATAAAAAAGTTTCATGGTTAAAAGTAGTCGATTTGGCGTGGAATGTCCCATATATATCTTAACCACACCAGAAGACGTAGAAATCAAAAAGCAAATGGTGAATCATGATAACATTCACAGGAATTTTGGGAACTATGAAAACTAACTTTCAGTAGAGACTATTTTATAAAATATATGGAATCTTGTCATTTACGTCAGACTGTAGTTTTAAAGCAACAACATCGCGGATAAATATATTTGTATTACCCATGAACGGTCCCTATAAAAATTAAGCCACAAATATATTTGTCATAACAAATTAAGAGATTAAATGATTTCACAAAAGATGTTCAAAATGGTATTCCTGCATCCAAATTTTATTTCATTCTCTTCATAAAGAATGTAAATATATTTTTTAAAAACTAACAGTCTTGCAAAAAATGACAAACTTCAAGAGCAAATGAGCACACAGCTTCAATGTTTTCCTTTGTTTGGCTTGGGCAGAGACGCCCCGTCCTCTCATCAAGCACACTGTCTCGGCCAATACAAAAACTTCCAAACCACAGGAACACAGTCGAATGTGATACACACTCCTCACGGTACGCCGTCTGTAACACGTTTCCATTACCGGCTCTAAGGCACACCTTAATTGCTGTATACTGTTCTATGTGTGTTCCCATGTTTCGTGGTAGATACACGTATACTGATGAAATGTTCGGTCGCTCAGAAGGCTTTCCACTGTGTAGTTCCGTTGACCGCACATAGATAGCGCCACACACTTCGCCATAATAAAAACTTAAGAGGGCTCTATAGCAAATAGCCAACCAGCAATACATTTTTATAGATTTTATTACACAGTTTGTCTAAATATGAATCGATGCACAAATAATAGACTTTCCCCCATTCTAAAGCATATTTTGTATAAAATGGAGTTAGTTTGAAACTCAAATTACTATTTGTTGTAAAGAAATTTGTAATTTGCCGCTTTTGAACAAGAAGCATTGTAAATTACAAATTTCTTTACGCCAAAAAGTTATGCAAGTTTCAAAGTAAGTCCATTTTATAGCAAATATGCGTTAAAATGGGGGAAAGTGTGTTATTTGTGCATTAATTTATATTTTGACAAACTGTGTAATAAAATCTATAAAATATATTGCTGGTTGGCTATTTGCTATAGAGCCCTCTTAATAGCCGGGTTGTGTATATCACAACGTTAGATCAAATATATATGAATTTAAAAGTCAATGATCTATGTGGTTTACCAAAAAGTCTACATTGTGAATCGGCAACGCAAATATTTTAATCTTTTATCCATTTTGTATATTTCCTAATGTTTAAAAAAATTATCAGTGGTAAGTAGACACCAATTCTGTAAAATACAATTGACTGAGGCTTTCATTGTACATATAATTAGTAGATTCATGTACCTATACCTATCTCTTTAAATATGCCAGCTTGAGAAGTTGATGTTGAGCAAATTTTCCCTTGTATCTAACAGATTTTAAAATATTTTCCGTCTATTTGAAGAGGTAGATGACTTGCCATGTGTTTAGATATTAGATGATATTTTGACTTAGCTTTGTAAAAGAGAAATATTGTTTAGAATGGTTTAAATGATATTCTTGAAAATTTTTCTAAGCAAGGTGTTTGTCGATGTGCCATAATTTTCGTTCGCACATCACCTTCATTTACTTTCCATTAAGACTGCACATGTATCCAAAGAAATATCGTTAAAAACTAATTCTAAAACTGACAACACGACTATTAATCTAAAATTATTTATTGTAATTATAACTGAAACTCAAATCATTGTGAATACAAAAAGCTTAAATAAAATTACTCTTATGAAAGTCACCTTTTATTTCTACCTTAAACTACCTTAACTATAGGAATATGTACACTCATTTTTAATATCTAGTTTTATAGGAACAAAGTTTTTAACAAAAAAATATCCTTTATTGAGAATTAAATGTTATGAATTATTAAATAAATATTTACATGCAGCAATAATAAATAAAAAAAAAATAGTCAACTTTACTTCCTTCTATTCTGTCCGCCTCCTGCCAAGATTGTAGCTATTCTCACAAAGATATTTAAAGTGTCCAGGTAGATTGAAATAGATCTAAAAAAATATGGTAAGTTTAGAGAACTAGAACGAATTCAAAAACAAATAAAGCAAGAAAGCATTTCCAAAATTAATAATCTGTAGTAAAAAGACATTTACAAAAATAATGCTATATACAGGGTGTTTCAGAAAGACCTCCAGTAAATACAGGGGGTGATAATACGACAAAAAATAAGAATTTTTTATCTTATGAACTACAGTTGAACTCGCTTATAACGAGCAGGGGATATAACGAGCACTTGGTTATAACGAGCAAATTGAAATGTCCCTTCCGAATTCCCTATGTAATACGTGTATTTTTGTTCGTCTATAACGAACTCGTATATAACGAGGGCTTGGCTATTACGAGCTTTGATTTTGGTCCCGCGCAAGTGATCTCGGCTACAACGAGTTATCGTAGAACCAGTTTTTACACACATGACATCAAATGAACGCAAAAACTTGTTATGACTAGTAGAAATAACAACATATCCGATTTTGACGTCTTTGACTTAGTTCAGTACGACATGGTAGACGAAAATCTCGAAGTGGCTGAATTCTCAAATGAAATTCAAATCACACAATTAGCGATTAACCCATCAATAGATGAAGAGTGATGAAGAAGAGACGGGATGCGATGAGGTTACAGTTCCTTCGACACATGAAGCCATCTCTGCGTTAAAAACCATAGTATCATACGTCGAATTCAAATATCCGGAAAACGAGCAGTTCTTAAATGCCGCTGATCGGTTGCAAAGAAATATCAGTCAGGAGATATTAAGCAAAAGAGTGGTGCAGAAAAATATTACAGAATTTTTTTGTTAATAATAAATGCTATGTAATGTAACTTACCTACAGTTATACGTATCTATGTTATGTAGATAAATAATATTATATGTTTGAAAATAAAAATACAAGTGCAATGTAGCTATAATTATGTGTCCAATGATTTTCAGCATAGTTGGCGACGGCGACGTCTATATCGAGCACTCGCGTATAACGAGCAAATTTTGCGTTCCCGTGAATGCTCGCTAGAACCGAGTTTTACTGTATATGTTTATCTCCTCTTGTTTTCGAGGTACAGAGCGACAAAATCAAATTTTTTAAATAGAATTTTTACGAAAATTTCCAAACGGTGCGAAATATTTTTATGAAATTTGGTATTCCGAGGTTTTTAAGGATGCCAAATACGCTGATCTAATTATTTTTTGTATATTTGATAGAGGGCGCTAGTTATGCTACATTCCTATGACACTTAAGTTCTAATTTTTTTAAGGTTAGGTTTTTTACCATTCGGGCTCCAATTTCTAATGTACAATTTTATTTTCTAAAAATAATGTACAATTGTTAGAACTTCCTAATGTGGATGGTTTTCGAGGAAAAAGGCTTAATTAAACTCTTACAATATTACGGTGTATAAAATAACTATAATAATACTTTTCTCAAAGTAGGCTTATGTCAAAACTTTTTGATGGATGTCTCATAAACAAGGCATACATTCTTAATAATAATTTAAACTCTAATTAACCTTATATCAAAATTTTAGTGATTGTTAGTGATTAATTAGTAATGACTAATGACAGTCACTTAAATTTTGATATAAAGTTAATTAGAGTTTAAAATATTACTAAGAATGTATGTGTTGTTTATGAGACATCCATCAATAAGTTTTGACATAAGCCTACTTTGAGAAAAGTCACTTATTTTATACACCGTCATATTATTAGAGTTCAATTAAAAGCCTTTTTTCTCGAAAACCGTCAACATTAGGAAGTTCTAATAGGAGCACATTATATTTAGAAAATAAAATTGTACATAGAAATTGGACCCTGAATGGTAAAAACCTAACCTTAAAAAAATTAGAACTTAAAATATAATAGCAATGTAGCATGACTAGCGCCCTCTATGAAATGTATAAAAAATAATTATACCAGCGTATTTGGCATCCTTAAAATCCACGGAATACCAAATTTCATAAAAATATTTCACGCCGTTTGGAAATTTTCGTAAAAATTTTATTTTGTCGCTCTGTACTTCGAAAACAACTGGAAATAGACATATAGAACATAAGACAAAAAAATTCTTATTTTTTGTCGTACTATCACCCCCTGTATTTACGGGAGATATTTCTGAAACACCCTGTATATCAAAATGAAATTAGAATCGACCAAGAAGAGCAAAAAATAGGTAAGGCAATTATAAAAAAAATAGGTAGCTATAAAAATACTAAAATTTAATTGAACTAAAGAAACAGCTTTCTACTTTCTATGAATGATAGTACAGCAAAAATGACATTTTAAAGGAAATTTTTTTACGAATTCATTTTTTAATTATTTTTTTCTAAGCCCTGGCTTCACACTTGCTTTTTCATGTACAAGTATTCAATATTCGAGCAATTTAAAGTATGTTTGGTTAAAATAATTTTAACGTGATATTTTGGGAAAAAATTGAAAACAAGTTTTGCTTTCATGATACCTACAGATTAGTAGGTTGCTCTTTACTGTATTTGGCCCTGTATATCAACCTCTGTTCCGCACTTGTAATGATCTTATACAAATATTTAGTCAATTTATGAATAAAAAGTTTGTATAGTCAACAATGGAAAAATTAAAATATATTTGTCGGAGATGTCTTTCTCACAGACCGAGTCCTTCAGACTTTGAAAATTCCAGAATTCTTACTAAAGACATACCCCTTTTATAACTTGTACCTAGATCTTAGAAATAGTTATTTAAAACTTAAACCGGTTATGTTTTTCCTGAGTTTTCTGATGACAAGCTTGGGTTTGGGGGGACTTACAGGTCACTCAACGTAGCCGCTGGGAGATAACAAATTTGATTGGTTCTTTTAAGAATAATTTTGATCTGACCAGTGAAGAGAAGTAAGCACAGAGATATGAACTGAAGGCAGTTCTATTTGAGCATTGAAGAGGTGAGTACATTGCTATTCTGCTGACCATGGATTCGTTATAAAGCCTCCGATTTTAAAATCATTTGCACTTACGGCATTATTTATTACTTTGTGATGATGAGTGATACCAATAGTGATATTAACGCCCAAGTTAGCCCTACGACTCCAGCATATTTTTTAATATTTAAAAATTTTGAAAACTGAATATAGAAAGAGCATCGAGTCTGTTGCTACTCAAAATCATGTTATGTTTCATTATAATTTAGATATGCAATATGCCTACAAAGCCATAAAAAAAGAAATACTGCAGACACGGCAAAACCATTGAGAGAATCTCATACTTAAACTTAAAATATATGTGTTCTCTACAGTATTAAAAGTGTGAAGTGGTAAAAAGTAGCTCAGGTTTCCGCTTAGCCACTAAGCTGCAATTTTGTTAAGATCTTTTTATGTCTTAATCCTCCTGACAGTAAACACAGCAATAAATAAAACCAATTTCTTGTAGATTTGAGTTTGCAATAAATAATTATTGGTTTTTGTTAAAAACCATCTTTGAATTATGCCCCTTGTGCCTTCAGGAGTAGGTAATAATCGATCTCTATTTATATGGATAGTGACTAGTAAGCGCTCGCCCGAAAAATTCTACATCCCTTGAAGGTCGAATTTGTTAAAATTTACCATACCAGGCATATTTTTCAGATGCTGGTTTGGATTTTTGTGCCTGATAATCTTGTGTCATACTTATGGGTTTTTACATAATTAATATTTGTAATTAAATGCATAAAATAAAATACCAGAGTAAAAACATTTAGGATTGAGCGGTTTGTTTCATTTTCAAATTATCATTTCTCTAAAAATTGTATGTAATAAAACATTCACATATTCATAGAAACCACAAATATTCGTCTACGCATGAGTGGAGCCAATTTAAAATGCAAACAATTCTAAAAGAATAAAAGCTTGTACAATAGGTAGAATAAGGTAAAGTTTACCTAGAAACCATATGTCTCCAATGGGAAACGTTTATCTAATTTTTATCTCTTTCTATTATCGGATTGATCAAGCAACATGACAACTATTCTTATAAATATATTTAGTGAATCTAAATATATGGACATAGACCTGGAAAATGTGTTTACTTAAAATCTTGGAATTACTGTTTCATCACCAACTGTAAATTTTGCTATTCTTAATCTTTATCAGTGGTAAGTCTTAAGAATTGTTTTCAACAGCGGGATTTATATGTTTTAAAATTAAGCAATATTCAATTTAGAAGACGTATTCATTGAAATTTTTAAAGAACGAATCAAATACACATAAAATCAAGGGGGTAATCATTTGTAAACTCTTGTATACACTATTGATTTCTAAAATTTGTTTCTCCTTGAATTTGCTCATAGTATTGCTTTCGTCCACCTGCTCAGGGCTTAACGACACATCTTGCCTATAACTTAGGGTACATTTAGAACAGTTTACACAAGAAATCGTTTTAGTTTTGTTAGATTTAAAGCATCTTATCTGAAACACCTCGGAAATTTGAGGATATGACCATCAGAAAAAAATTATTTAGATGAAAACTCGGAAATGAAATTGCTTGTATTTCAACAAAGAGAGTTCCATGTTCATAATTCACAATTTGAATAAATACTTTCAAAGTTTTGAGTAATTAACTCTTTTACCAAACACTAAAGCAATGGGTTTTCATTGTTCATATTGAAATATTTATAATATGAAATTAAAATGTGTGAATTTAGCGTGAAAAAAAAATCTATTTAAAGTTCCATATGAAGCTCTTTTTCTTAAAGATGTCTTTGGGGCATTTCTTATTGATTGCATCACTAATTTTACATTTTCTTCTTCGTTAACCGCTGTTACCCTTTTCTTTTTTAATAAAGAACCAGTGTTTTTAAATTTTTGTACAATCCTTTTTATAGTCTTATCTGTGACTATATCAGGCAAAAAAAGGAGGAGTTTTTACAAAGAGTGACTTTTTGTCGTAAACCCACAAATAAAAAACTTCCCTCTTCTGGACATTACAGCGGGACACGCTGTAGAATATTTTTATGCACAAGCTTAATGTTTCAAATTCAATTCTTATCAGGATCACTTAAAACCTCAGCACATATGTTAATTTCCAAGAATTTATAATACAGAATATATACTGGTTTCAAATTTTAAATTTGTACCTATTTGATTCAATTTGCTAAAATTTCAAAACTGAAAATAACTTATTTCATATTATTTTTACGTAAATTTCTTAAAAATTCCTATTATTTCCCAATTTATGGGACGGTACTAAAATTTCTCTGCTTTTTTCATAATAAGTGTCTGTGTATTCATTTAATATACACAAATTTATTCGAATTCACAAGTATTCAATCTGAAACAAACTCTTAAAAAATTATATGAATTTTGCACTCAGTGTACACAATATTTTTCAATAATTATCCCCTCAAACAAAACAAACCTTAAATTGCTATTTAAGAAAATTTAAAGCAACAATCAATTAACAACTAAATATGTTTTATACTTACGCATTGATTGGGTCATAAGGCCTAATTCCGTACAATTGGGGATTGGCTGGATACCTCTCTGCCTGAGCCACTATCCTCTGGGTGTCGTAAAGCAGAAAAGCGGAAAACAGCAGAAGTCCTCCATAAAGTGAGACTGAGTACATACCGGCTCCTAGAGCCGTTGTTGGCGGAAGGAACATGGAACCGATAGAAGCGGCAAACACAACTCCCAACCCCATCGCAAGAGGACCACCCATGTAGAGGAATTGTTCACTTGGGGCACAAACCTACAAGAAATGTGAGGATGGGTAAAAGTAAATACTAATGTTGTAAAATAATGCTTGAAAATTAATTTTCAGAGAATTTTCACTTTAGAAATATAAAGACTATATTCTACATGATAATTTGTTTTAAGTTAAGTTAAATACTTTTTGAAAATTATGAATTCTCATTCTCAAATATTTTGATTTGAGGAAAATTGTGAAAATGGTGAGTGTGTAATTTTCTAGAAAATGTTTAGTGCATACCAATCTTGAAAACTTAGATTATCATAGATGTGGAAATGTCACCGAGAATTTATATATTTTTCAAATTCTAATTGTAACGATTGTAATTGTAACATATTGTATATAGTTTCATATTTCTCAATATCTGCAGAAACAATATTTACAAAAAGTAGTACTTAAATCTATTTATATTTAAGACAAATTTAACATGCATGCATTGCAAAGGAGACTGATACAAATATTTTTTTCCTCAAAGGTTTCAAATAGATTGTCAAAAGCGCAAAATACAGTTACAGTGACTGGAGTACTGCTTAAGGAGGTTCGATACCAAAAGAAAAATGGTAAGAATGTTTTCAAAGCAATTGAAATCTGTTAATAAATATGCAAACTGACTTGTGTAAAAATATCAGATCGATTGACAACGTAGCTTTTTTGAAAAATGATTTTAAAAATTATGCTCTTTTACACAGGCTCTTATGGGAGTTGGGAAAAAACTTTAATCAAATGTGAATATTGCTCTTAAAAATGATTAGGATCGGAAAAATAAAATTGTAATTAAAGAATTAAATATTACTAAACATTTTAAAACAATAAAAATATGCACTTACAATGTAATTATTGGGATAATGGAATGAATAGATAACGTTTTGACAAATTTGAACAAACATCTGATCTAATGAAAGAATATATGGCGACACTGTACGCTGTATTTAATGCTTCGACTGATGCGTTATATATATTTGAATAGCTCGATTATAGATTATAAAATTATTCCAGTCGAAAATATATGTAGTAATAATTAATATTAAATAAATTTTTCGTGATCTCAAGCAATATACTAGCAATTTGAAACAAAAATTGAAAGGATCTCTTTGCAAAACGAACAGTATAAATGTTATGTCATAATCTTCAATTTGACAAGTCGACGTCTCACTGTCATACACTGAACTTCTTGATAGTTATCATATGGATTCTCGGTTTGCACATTTTATTTTATTCTCATCAATCCACATTCTCTTTTACACTCATTTTATATTACTTTTCAGTCATTACTTTTCCTTTGTACCTTGGTTGTTCATTCATGTTTACGGAATTCGCGCAAAGTTGACAGTAATGACAGTTGATCCAACTTTTACCACCACGCCATGGCAATGTTGCCAGATTTCATCCATAATTTTACAAGCTCGTAATGAATAAATAGACGCTTTTATTCAAATAAAATGTGAACTGACGTGTATTAAACACGAAAAAATATGCAAGCTAATATGTGTTGCATAAATTTCATTCTAAATAGCATACTTAGTTCGCTGAAATTAATTTATGTAAAGTTGGTACTGCAACAAGACTCCCGTGTATAAACATAGGTATACTCTCCGCACCGCCCGCCCCGGAAGAGGTGTATCGAACGTCCTTAAGATAACAAACTCATTGAGAACATTCATACTTTTATGACAGTAATAAAGATAATGTAAAATAAAAAACTTCAGGAAAAAATTTTTTATATATCCAAGACTATAATTAATTAATACTTTAAAAAATTTTGGATGTTTATTAAAAATAATTTATTACAGATCTGAAACTGTAATAAAACAACCATGGTGTAATAAATTAACTCAGCTTTAAAAACTGACATGCATGTAATAAATCTGTGAATTAATAAATAAATCAAAATATGATGCAAGAAGTGATTGTCTCATCTTATCACTGCAATATCAAATTATAAGAAAAAGTAATGTTACCAACTCTTTGATTATCATATTATTTTCAAATTTGTTTGTCATTATTATTTAAAAAAGATCAATGTCAGATATTTTAAAAGTAAACTCACTGCAATTGTGCTGAGTCCTCCAACAACTCCCGCAGTATACCATGCAGCACGTATCAAAATGGGGCCTCCAAGTAAACACATGGGTGCTAACATCGCACCCATCACGCCTGTGTGCAACAGCCAAGCCATCTGTTTTGCTCCAATACCTTCTCTGTAGGGAATACTTTGGCATAACATACCAGTACCTATAATGGCAGCTAAACTAATAGCCATACCCTACAAAACATTAATGTTAATATTAAACAATAAGGATACATTTTTTACTTACCAAAAATCCATTTCTCATTACAATATTCATCACTGCTGGAGATCTTACTGCTGCAAGAGCGCTAGCAGCTGTTATGGCCACAGAGCCTCCAAAGTACATGTAAGTTGCCTTAATGCGGTCCTTAACATACTGCGGCCATACACTAAACGAAAATAAGATATTAAATAGACATAGATCATAAGAAATTAACTTACTGTTGGTGGTCGATTAAACTGGCATCTTTTCCTAAACCCAAGCCGTAATAACACAATGCACCAACTCCAAGTACTGAACCACCGGCAACTGCACCTTTTCCAATATTGAATGCTAAACAGGTAAGTAATTAATAATACATTTACAAAAGTTTAATTTCAACTATATACCTGTATCTCCAGCAGGAGCCATAATCTTTTCTTTTAAAGTTGTTCGTTTTCTGGCAGTCCTGGCAATAGTTTCTTTCCCTTCATTTGCAAAAGTTCGATATACATTGTTATTTTGGATTTGCCTTAATACCAAATTCGATTTTTGCCATATTGGCGTCCGACAAAGTCTTGAAGCTATCATCATAGCCATTTTTCAACTAAAAATTAAACAAAAATTTATAATAGCCAGAAAATTCCAGAAGCAGAATTTTAGGTTAGGTGGTGCAACATTTCGTAAAGAAGTAATATACGCTGTATAATTTATACAGTTTCTCTTACACTTTTAATTTTTTATGACAGTTACCACAGATGAACTTGATCTTTAAAATTAAATCGTTTCACTAACAATTTCGTTTCGATTGTTTAATAATTTTCTTTACCGTTTTATAAATCTCCAAAAACACTGGAAACGCAAACAATTCGACACTTTATTGACAATATTGACCTTGACAATAATAGCGATTTCCATTGAGAAAACTGGTGCACACTGAGTGCACCATTGACGTATTAGTAAAGTCGGAACATATTTTCAAATTCCAATGGAAAACTAGAGTGAGAGTTTTTGCTGCCAAAAGTGGAAGGATTTATTGAAAATGTCATCTACAAACTTAAATAAGTGATCCGTTCCGTCTACAGGAATACACAATGTAACTTCTTCGTCGTTTATTTTAAATTTCAAATTTAATTCTTGGTTCATTGAAACCACAGATTAAATTGTAACTACCCTCTTTGAAAAACTTCAACTGCTCAACTGTTACTTTGACTGAATAAAAATCAAAACATAAACGTAACCTATAATGTCAGAAACCCACGCAAAAATTGTCATTCCATTGTGATTGCAACAGAGCATATTTCTTATACAACCAGTGGAGTGTCAGTGCTGCCCGAGTGCAATCCCAGTTTTCCCCAATGGAATGGAAATCGCTATAAGAATAAACTACACTAGCAGTGTTGCCGTATGAATTTTAGTAATAGCCTTGACTATATACACTAGTTAAAGGTAATAGTTGCCAATTAAAAGAAAATCAATGAAAATCCAATCAGCAGTCGTAATCCATACTCGTTCGAAAATGATTTCTGAATCTGTGATCTGAAATCAAAGTATCTGGTTTGGTTTAATGAAAAAATACTGATGCAATATTGTTCATTTTTAAGTGTAGTCTCCATGATTTTTATGAATTCCGAAATCATTAGCTCTTTTCTTTTATTGATGTTTTCAGAATCATAAACGCGTTACCATCCGAAATCTAGCAACCTGATTGGTTTTCTGTTTCGTTTTGTAAATATTTAAAAATAGCTATTTTTTAAATTATTTTGTACATTAATTATTTTGAATACAAAGTTAATAGATATATAGATCCTTAGAGCATATAATAAATACATGGAGGAAGCACCACGTGTTAGAACNTTCTATTTAACAATTTTCTTTAATTTCCTTTTTCTGCTCAATGAAGCACAAGCTCACACAACGAATTAAATTAGAAATACAGGCAGGAACAATAAAAAAACTTGGAAAAACGCACACAACACTATAAGAATATGGCCACGATCCGTTTGTTTACTTTTTGACTTACCACATGACGTCAGCAAGATAGCCAAGATGGCGCCGTGCATGCGCAATATCATATCTCTGTATGGTTGTATCATGGGCCTGGACAGCCTTCGTAGGTGGGCCCCATCCGTCGTCTACCCCGACCGCAAATGCGGCCGGTGTAGGCGCTTTGTGGGACCTCCTTTTGTCCTGGCTGGAGACATGGAGACTAGTCTCCATGGCAACAGAGCATATTTCTCATATAACCAGTGGAGTGTCAGTGCTGCCCGAGTGCAATCCCAGTTTTCCCCAATGGAAATCGCTATAAGAATAAACTACACTAGCAGTGTTGCCGTATGAATTTTAGTAATAGTTGCCAATTAAAAGAAAATCAATGAAAATCAGCAGTCGTAATCCATACTCGTTCGAAAATGATTTCTGAATCTGTGATCTGAAATCAAAGTATCTGGTTTGGTTTAATAAAAAAATACTGATGCAATATTGTTAATTTTTGTGTAGTCTCCATGATTTTTATCATGAATTCCGAAATCATTCTCTTTTCTTTTATTGATGTTTTCAGAATCATAAACGCGTTACCATCCGAAATCTAGCAACCTGATTGGTTTTCAGCGGATCTTAACGTGTTATGATTCCGAAATCATGAATAAAAGAAAACGTCCATTGTTAAGCGAAACACGGTTACAAAATTTCTACGATTTCAAATTACGATCATTCATCAACCAAATCATAATCACGATCGAAGTCATCGAAAACGCAATTAGTATGACCGATGATAAAACGTATTTTAAACATTTGTTAATAATTAAAAACGAACATTGGGGTTTCTGTTTCGTTTTGTAAATATTTAAAAATAGCTATTTTTTTAATTATTTTGTACATTAATTATTTTGAATACAAAGTTAATAGATATATAGATCCTTAGAGCATATAATAAATACATGGAGGAAGCACCACGTGTTAGAACCACATACTTCTATAGAAGGAATAGAAGTATGTGGTTAGAACGTGTAGACGCTGTAGAGAGAAAAGAGCAATTGTTTGGTTTCCTCTCTCTCTCTCTAATCGTTGAAGGCGATACGTTAGCTAATCACGTGCCTGTGCGAGAGAGAAAAATACTACATAATCTGCTCGTAGACTTTAAAGGCTTGCGCGCACTAGCCGGCAACAGCTGACAACGGAACGCATCATGGCGACCGGCAATTTTTTAGCGTACCGCGTTCTAGCTATAAATTTTCCAGTCAGTCGCTCAGTTTATTTTGCTGAAGACGGATGCAAAGTCTATAATTGTAAGTTTACTATGTGAGGAAGAGAAATAACAAATTGCAAAGCTAAAAAGAAAGCGAAAATGGATACACGGAGATTTCCGTTCAGGCCGCCGTGTAGAATTGTGGTCCGTTACCGGCTAGTGGGCTGTGGCTGTACCATTCCAAATGCATGGTTGAATATAATTGCCGGCCGCCGTGGTCCGTTCCGTTGTTGGCTAGTGCGCGCAAGCCTTGATCATATTCTGTGCCCAAACTATCTCTTTCTCTCTCTCTCCGTCACTCGTCTACACTGTCGCATGTCGTTGTAAGCGCGGGTACCGATTTGAATATTTTTGAACGAACTGTTTGTGCCGTGCACACTGCGCAGTGCGCACATAAAGGAACATACCGGGTAGGAAAGTACCGATGGTCTATCTAAAATTACGTGAGACGTGAGAGCGATAAAGTAAGCCATAGAAATCCGTACGATAGAGAAAGATGGCTATAATGAAGACGTCTAATAGTCACCGCCCATTTCGCCCTTCCACAAATAAGAAGTGGATCTTATTTGTGGAAGGGCGACTATTAGACGCCTTCATTATAGCCATCTTTCTCTATCGCACGGATTTCTATGACTTACTTTATCGCTCCACGTAACGGCCGATGAACCATGGGGACTTTCTGACCCTGTAGACCATCGGTACTTTCCTACCCGGTATTTTATAAGTGTTTACTGCACAAAACAGAGAAAAGGTTTACTGTATTTTGAATTGTTCATGCCAGTTTAGTGTTTGTCGAGAATTTTTCCCTCATATTTTCCATGTATTTTCCCTAACTAAGAGAATGGACAAAGTGCTTTTTCTTATAACTCATATGGGCATGTTTTTTAATTTTATAAGATAATTCGCATTTATTTTAAATTCCATAGTAAGGGGTGTTTTTCGTACTCATTAGAAATTCCATAATGTTTCTCCCTTTGCATTCTATTTTTCTAGTTAAAATAATAAATCACCTAAATTGGCACGAAGTCTACACATGTTACAAACATTCCTACTCACTGTACATCAACCATCAACTTGATTTCTTTGAACAATTCCAAATTCAAACGTGCACACTCCTACAGAGTAAAACACTGAAGTAGTTTTATATTTTTATCTATGAGGCAAAAGTCAGTATCTAATGGGCTAGTAAGAGAGAAACTAATAAACATTATTTTCTCTTTGAGGCTAGTCTGTATCAGTGCCCACCTTAACAAGAGCAAGAGATGGTAGCGACATTCTAGCAATTAGTTACCCAAGTGTAGCGTTTTCCTATTTGTGACCACTGCTGGCATCTAGCATGAAGAATAAAATCCAATAAATAAAACGCAATAAATTTAATATAAAAAATTATATTAAAAGTAAACAGAACAATATATAAAAATTTCAATTGGCACAGTATCTCTCTCTATGGATTAATTTAAATGCTTTACATAACAGTACCTAATATATGGTTTATTCAACGTGTAAGATTTTAAAATCCGTTACTACATACGTACTATGTACAGATTATCGTGGTTTGGATCAGTATAACAGATAATGAACCAGCTTTCAAAATCTAACATCGCTGTTTACGCATGTGCATGTAATATAAATTTTATTTCACATTTTACACCTTATAGCATTTTTAATACCTACTTATATAAAACAAAATAACAAATTGTGCACGATGATGCTATAATATCAAGAAACTTGTCATTGATTTATTATGGAAAAAATACAATTTTTTAATATAATCCAAAATTCTTTTCCCAACGGTCATGAGGTAATCCAATCACCTCGCCCTCCCGTTATTAGTTAGATGAGATCAGGAGTGGGAGAAACCACTCAAATGACTACCTCAATCTACTTTGTCATAAGTAAGAACGTCAGAACAGTAAACATCAGGGTCGGTAAACAAGCCCTTTGAATGAAACGTTGGGAGGCTTCTAACATGACTGGCTTTATTTTGCGATGACAGGACGTATAAACTTCCAATTTGATGGGAAAAAATGTGGTGGGAAAAATGTGTTTTAAAAAGACTATGTAGAAAAATAAGGTTTCTTTGATTTTCCTATTACATGTAAAAATAAATTTTTGGAGAAAGAATTCCGGTTTATATTTGATTTTCCTCTTATAATTAATTTGTACTAGAACAACAAATTTTAATAAATCTGGAACGTTGATCAAAATTGCAAGTAGGTACTAACAAAATGTGTAAAACCTGCTAAAAAATAAATTATAATCCAAAGTTTATATATTCATATCATGTTTATAAGATGGCTATTTAAAATGTAACCAAGCATAAAATACAAATATTTTCCAACTTTTTCAACAAGCTCTGGAAAACTCGAATATACATAAAAAATAAAACATGGAAAGTAAAAGCTCTTTTGAATCCTATTATACAAAAGAGTATAATCAACTATCTCTATTAAACCTAATATTATGACTTTTGACATACTCTGGAGCTATTTCATTCAACCATTCACTCTCGACTGTAGTGAGGCCTCGCAAATAGCATTTGTTTGTTTGCACCACTTCCGTAAAAACTACAAAATGGGGTTGTTGGCCGTGAAGGCTTGAACTCGGGTGGATTTGTACTACTTGCCTCTTATCCAACTGGAAATGGAAATAAAAATTAATTCTGAAATTCACAAGGTTCATTATTATTTAAAATAAAATATTTATAAAGCAGTTTTTGTTTAAGAAAAGATGAGTGATGGGAGATCTGGAGTGAAAAATCATGTGGTACTCAATTTTTGAGATCACTCGAGACGTTCACTCTCACCACTCGAGTGATTATACCCTGCGGCTGCGCCCCTAAATGTTGCTGCATACTGCAAGTAGTCACTGATTGTGTGACCTTGTTTTTTTTTAGAATAAAACGAAAACATTTTCAAGTTTTGAAATGCGTGACCTTTATTTTTTTTTAGCTAGATAAGTAATATATAACTAATGCAAACATATGTGTGCACCGATTATTAGAAGTAGTCGAGTACTAATAACTTGATTATCAAAATTACTTGATTATGCCCATCACTAGAAAAGATAGTTTATCAAAAAATAATCATTGTTATACACAGAACGATTCTTAACCTTTTGATCGCTTTTGACATATATAATTGGCATGAGCAAAGTTAATAGATAGTGATTTTGATGGATATATACGCTGCTAAATAATTTGTGTGTATATCTGCTTACGACGGAAAAGTTTACTTGCAAGTATCTGTTGCACACTAAGATATAATTATAGCGACTAGCATGGTATAAGCATGTGTTTCACGAGTTCTACATACTTCTTTATAACAATTTATAGTGAATTAGCAAATATATTAACTCAGGATATAGGGTCGGAACTATTAGATGTTACATGGACGTATTCAGGTATTACACATCCCACAATTCCATTTATCGGTAACACGGGAATCCAAATTCCTTTTCTACATACTGATGGCAAGAATTATATGTATTTGCAACAATTTTAATATTATATTTGTTTTGTTTTTATTTTCTTAGAATATAAATGCAGTATACCATTTGTGACGACCGCAATTATATTGTAAACTGAATATGTATATATACGTTAGCGCAAAAACGGATCAAGCCAGCGAGGAGTGCACTTCTCGCAACGGATCAAGGCATCAAGAGGTACGTACCATTATTTTAATGATACAACACTTCACTATGGATAGCAGGAATGAAAATATTAATATTTATCTAATCATGGGTTTAAAAGTTTTAAAATATATATTGTTCTATTTTTTTCTTTGTAATTTAAAGTTTTTAGAATTTTGAAATGAAATTTGAAAATAATTATGTTACACCTTCAATTTTGATTTAGCTCCTACAAAACGTTATGTTCTCTACTTTGAATGTGTTAATTCTTTAACCACAAATTTTTTATCCCCAACTTTACAGTTGATTTCTGACAGAAATTGTTCAGTAGAGGCAAAAAACTTATGAATATATACAGGGTATTTGTAAATATGTGCGAAATATTTTAGGAGGTGGTTGCCGAAGTTATTTTGTGAAAAAAAGTTCATATAAACGTAGGTCGAAATATGCTTCGTTTCCGAGATACAGTGTTCAAATTTTAATTTTTTATTTATTTTTATTCCGAATATTTCTACTTGCACCAGTGGTGTTTGGTGAGAATACCACAACCTTTTTTAATAAAAAAGATGGTACGCCACTGACTTTTTCCCGTTTTGATATTTTTTTAGAAATCCGCCATCAATTCTGTATGAAATTGGTATCTTCAATTTTTTTGTAGGATGCACTGTTTTTGAGGAAAACAAAAAACATTTTATTGCATGTTGTGTATTTTTAATTTCTATTGATATATTATCTAGTAGGTTGCTGTGAATATTTCTAAATAAAATACTACCATCAAATTTCGAGTAAATATCTTTGAACCTCTTTGAAATAATTAATAAAAATAAAATAAAATAATAAAATTTAAACACTGTATCTCGGAAATGAAGCATATTTTGATCTATGTTTGTATGAACTTCGGCAACTACTCCCGACAATATTTCGCACTTCTTTAGAAACACCCTGTAGGTATATCATTTGACTATATAAAACACCTTAAATCTGAGTTAGAGTGATATTTGTGTAAATAATGTTATGCCCAATAAGTCATTTATGGTGCAAGAACAGAATATGTTCCCAATTTGATATTTACTTATTTACTTATTAAATTTACCAGGTGGTTACGTAACTGTCAAAATGTTTTTCCGTATACAAAATTATTAGATAGATACAAACATATTACTTACAAAAATAAATAAATATAAAAGATGGTCAAGACATCCAGTAAGCAATTTAATCTATTAATGGGTAATCTAAATCCCAGAAATTACATTGTTGCGGGCAAATGAATCATTGATATTGTTTATTTGAATCCGTTGTGTTATAATTATTTTGTTTGTTTGAATTTTATACAGTTATAAAAAACGTTCGTTAGGAAGTTCTGGTGTTTTCTTGTTATTTAAATTAAGTGACTCCTTGAGTAAGAGTGTAACACCCTGTACAACCAACCCATGGATTAAATGATACGTGAGCAAAAGAATGTGACTGAAATTCATTCTTTGAACGTACAATATTTCTAAGTTCCCACATATCATAATTAAATGACAATCTATGAGCTCCCATTCACAAACTGATGTTGTTATGGTACCGTTCGTAAAGATGGATAAAGAAGTAACCCCTCAGGTTACAACAGTAACATTAAATTTGGTAATAAAAGAATGTATTTATTGAATAGATTCTTACCGTAATATACTGCCGATCCCTGTGCAATTCAGCAACGTTGGTAAAAAGACCTGTCAACAAACATTTCCTCAACTGATCCATCTGACTGCCACAAGAGGAAACAGTAAGATCGCACTTCTTGCAGATTTCTTCCAGTTGTGCCCTAACTTCCCTCGCATGCAATATGTTCCTTATGTTAATAAAATGTTCGTGACACCACGATCTCTTATTATTTTGCCCAATATTATTAAACTCCCTGAACACATTTAGGAGCGTTATGTGATCCCCGTAAGCAGAGCAGAACTTTTGTCGAATACTTTGGACTTGTTCCCGCCTGTTATGGGGACACAACAAAATCGATTCGCTGCTCAGTAAAGCGATCACTGACAGAGCCTCCTCGAGGCAGCCGTACTGTTGACTGGAGAGAAGGATCTTTGAAAAGCGAGGGTCTAGTGGAAACTTTGACATTTTCCTCCCGAGGGGAGTTAAATTTATAGAGTCGATATCTTCTATTGCACCGAGTTGCTTCAACTGGTCAAACGCGGCCACAATCGCCTCTCTGGGAGGTTTGTCCATGAAATCGAAGTGTAACGCGTGGATACCTAAGGCCAGCAATTGTAGGGCGACACTGTTGAGATTTGCTCTTTGTATTTCGGGGACTGTAGTCTTCTTCATCAGTTCAAACTGCGATCTCGTATATATTCGATAACAAAATCCTTCCGATTCCCTACCAGCCCTTCCTGTTCTTTGCCATGCCTGTTCTTGGGAGATTCTTTGCACTTTTAACAATTCCAGGCCAGTTGAGGGATGGAAAGACCTATTAACAATTAGCTCAATGCATACACTTGCAAAATATTTTTTTATGGACATCACATAAGATAAATGTACCAGTAATCGTCAGATTAAGGGAAGTACTAAGTACATGTTAGTAATTCTATCAGATATACAAATTTTTAGACGTTATTTCGTTGGCCCTAAATTCTTCAATGTACAATCAAGTCTACTTACTAAAACTGTGCCTTTAATGACTGACATATTGCAACATATTGTCATCCTTAAGTTCAGTTTCATATAAGTATAATAACTTTCAATTTATCATCGTTAGTTTAGTACGACACGATTTCACATGTCCCTTGTGATGTTATTACTAAGCTTCACTGTATTTACTCCGTATATTTTGCAAAAATACATAGTTTTTTTATTACATAAACTAATGGAGAAATATTTTATTAAAATATTGCATTTTGTATCAATTGTCACATTATTTTGTTTGTACTGTTTATTTTGGTTCATACTATTACCTCCTTAAATATTTTACACTCTTTTTTTAACACCCTGTATATAAGATCAAATACAAAAGTTTTGGAATCATTCTGACAGACATACTTTTAATACCCATGGGAAAAATAACCTAATAGATTCATGTTCTACGGCATAAAGGGTGTTTCTGAAACAAATGAGCTCCTTGAAAAAGGTAACAGAGAGCAGGAAAATGAGCAATTTTTATTAAGCAACTGATGGTCTAAATGCTCCTGTTTTCGAGAAAATTAATTAATAAAATTAACCATACATGAAAGCCGACCCTGTGCATCTTGTGCACGTGTGTTGTGTGTTGCAGTATTACTTAACCGGCATATACAATGGCTATTGGTATGATACAAATTTTCATGTTGCACAGAGATGTCGGTTCCAGCAACGATTTTCAGTGAATGTGTGGTGTTTTTGGTGACAGAATTTCGAACGTCGTATAGAAGCATGTGTTTATTAGCACATGGATTTGCAAAATTTGTAGCACTGTACTTGTAAATTGATACAATGAATATTGAGCATTGACTTTTTTTTACATCAACCCAAATTTTATATTCTTACTGAAGTTTACAACATGCATACTCAACAATTTACAAATGATATTATCTTAATTGTTTATGATTTGTCCAACCACAATTTATTTCAACATGTTAACAAAGTAAGCTTTCAGTGGTTAATATTGTGAACACAAGAAGTATTGCTTAAAATATTTGATGTGTTAAACATTTGTTGTTAAATCATGTGAAATCTTAACATTAACATAAATGTGTTAAAAATGCTCACTGACGATTATTATATCTACAACTACTTTTTGATAACCAAAAAACTTCTTCGAGGTTAGCTATTGCATATAAAATGCTGCAAAGGAACAATTCTGCGAGACTGACTTACCTAGCCTTGACCATTCCTCCATCTATAACATATTTTATACCACTTATTGTAATGCTGGTCTCTGCAATATTTGTGCTAATAACTACTTTCCGAGTATTGGGTTGTGAGGGTTGAAACACAGTCATTTGCTGATTGCTAGGCTGAGCAGCATATAAAGTAAACACCTTAATAGGGGGACCTTGAACATCAGGATCTTTCGAGAGTAACCTAATTTGATGAGCACAAGCTTCTATCTCTTCTTGACCAGTTAAAAATATCAGAACATCGTGACTACAAGTATAAAAGTTATTTAAATCATGGTTTAGTCTACACAAATACTGTGAATACTAAAACTACAGCAGAAGGTAATACTCACTTAGGAGGAGCTTCTCTGTGGATTTTGAAAAAGGTTGCAACACAACTAGTTTGATAGTCATCATGTGGTCTGACAGTATAAAATACATTGACCGGATAGGCCCTTCCTTCTAAATAAACAGCCTGGCAATTGTTAAAATATCTTGAAAAATGATCAACGTCCATTGTAGCAGACATAATTATTATCTACAAGAACGAGGAAAATTATTAGGGACATAAATTTATCGTTATTATTCTTACCTTTAGAGGAGATAACTTTCGTTCTTCTCGAATTTTCTGAGCTTTCTTGACAATTCCAAATAGAACATCAGTATGAATTGTTCTCTCATGGGCCTCATCCAAAATAATAACAGTATACTGATTTAACAGTCTATCGATCATAGCTTCACGCAATAACATACCATCAGTTAAATACTTAATTTTGGTTTTTTTAGATGTCACATCTTCAAATCTAACCGTATAACCAACTGCATCACCTACTGACATCTGGAACAAACAATATTTACATACAAAACTAATTTCATTATAATTTGCTATCAAATATTATTATAAAAATTACTACTTTCAGATTAATAACATTCAAAATTAAATATTACCCCCTGTCCATATTCCTGAGCCACTCGTAATGCAACACTTATAGCTGCGACTCTCCTAGGTTGTGTTATGGCAATCTTTCCATTTTCCTGTAATCTAGCCGAGTTGATGTATTGAGGAATTTGTGTAGTCTTGCCACTACCAGTTTCTCCTAAAATTATAAGAGTTTTATGTCTCTTTATCAATTCTAACAGTCTATTCCTTTTTTCAAACACTGGCAACTTTCTCCTTTGATCTTGTATACTCATTTTAGGCTTATTTTGAAAGTTAGTGATAGAATTCAAAGTGCCTTTATTATTCTCCTTATCATTCAGTTTCATTTTCTTTGGACTTGGAGGCCCAATTTTGTTATTAAAAATAATGGGTGTAGGCTTCAACTTCATTTGAAATTTGGAAATTGTAGTGGTTTTGCTGTTATTTCCCAAATTATATTTTGAATCCATTTTGAGGTTAACCACGTGAATGTCTACAATTAAATTAATTACACCAACTTTGTTCAACTCATCAAGTTCAGATTAATAATAAGAAAATCCGTCAGCCTTATTAGTAGCATTTTCTTTAAAAGAAAGAGTAAAACCAGTAACTGAAACTGTTGTCAGAATCTCACTATAAAACTAATAGCAAAAGAAAGGTTAGAAAATTAACTGTCATTTCCAACCACTGATGCTATAAGTTAGAACTGTTAGAAGTGGGCAAGATCCGCATCATACGTCATACGTATAAACCATAGGGATCTCTAGTGGGAATCGATTCATGCGGATCCCAATATAAAATCATTTCATACTTTCATCTTAGCGCATCAATGCGAATTGAGAATAAATTGAAGTGAATCGGTCATCGGTTTGAACTGATTCTCGTATTTGATACAGGTCGAAGAGATATAATGAATTAGATACAATTTTAGTGCTTGCATATTGAATTGCGAATACGAAGCTGCCAACTGTGGAACAGTGAAGCTTGGAACAATACTTATAATGTAATTTATAAGTGGCAGAATAGTATGTATTACATATTTAAATGTTGAACCCCTTTGGTCGAAAATAAATTTGAACGCTAATTATGCCTCACTTGTAAATTATTTGATACCATCTCAAAACAAGCTCAAACACTTGCTCTGTCATAGATAAAAGAGTTATGCTCTGTGTGCTGGAGCTAAAGCATATACTTCTAATAAATTGATTTATAAATTTTGTTTACAAGAAAATGTGCAAATATCAGATTATGAAAAGCAATTTTGTACTTCAACTGCCGCGATAGTAATATTTCTTTGTATATTAGAATTTAATCAGAATATGCACATGACAGAAAACGTGATATGGGACACCAGATACAAAAAGAAAATAAGTAAGCAGCAAGCGCACGCATCTACAGTTAGTACTCAAGCACCAAGATTTCTATAAGTCCCTTTAGAAATCTTGCACAAGCACACAGCATATAGATTAGGTAGAGTTTTCTATAGCTTCTTATAGGAAGAGTAATTTTCAGTCCTCGATTATACCCACTTGATCATTTCATATGTGTATTTTTAAAACAAGATTTAGTTCGTCTTCTCTATGAGGAAAGCCAAAAGAAAATCTTATACCTACGTATGCAGCTACGCTGACCAAGTATCAATTACAAAAGTAGACGCTATAAAAGTGAAAAACAATACGTACATACCTACGTATGCAGCAACAGAACAGGCATATCAGAGGGATTTTTTGGAATCAAAACCGAACCATTCAGTTTTTGAGAAATATTTAATAATGTTTTTTGTACGTGAACTTATACTAACGGCGTTAAAAATTTTATTGAAACTGTCTGTTAATTTTGAAACAGTGATATTGAACTGGAAAATTTTTTCCTTGGTAGTCTTAGAGAGTAAGTCGTGTACACTTTATTATCTCAGCCGCGGCGTCGAGTTTTAACGGTTGCCGACAAACAAACAAATCTAATGATTAATAAAATGGCTGCTTTTCGCTTAAAGTAAATATGATTTTAATCCGAGATTTATTTAATAATTTTTATATGTATAATAGTTATTAGTGATTTGTATGACTTTTGGGATAATAAGTTCGTCTTCCACATTTTTGTAATGATAAGGTAAATGTAATTTAACGTTTTTTACACAAAGAGAGAAAATTTTCGAGTAGATGTTTGACAGGACCACAATTTTCATTGAATTTTAACGAATCACCGTGAAAGTTCTCCCCATATTTTAAATGTGGCGAACTTCTCATTTTTATTATTTTATTATTAAGAACAAAAGAAGGACGGATTTTGGAAACTGTGGTGTAATTGTTAACTTAAAAATTGGCATTTTTAGGTAACCTGATGTTAACAAACTTTATAAACACCCTTTTTATTATTTGCAATTACAGAATCAAAGAATCACATTACTGTTCGCCTGTTTTATAGTATATTTTCATTAATATCATTTACTCGTCATGATGGATATAATACATGACGAAGACAGGAAAAGAAGACTACGTCTTCTGGAGGAGCGAATTCAAGATCCTCACAGTAAGGGTAATATTGATTCTCTACTGGATACGGTGCAAGCCCTGTATACCGATTGTGACCATGCTGCCATAAAAAAACTGAAAAATGTGGAGGTTTACTTAAATAGATGTAAGTGCATTCCTACATACAAAGATTTACTTTAAGTGTCATAGTATATTTAAGTGCACAATAAAAAATGTAAAATATTATCTCGCAATTATCATGCTAAAAATATTTAGATAAAATGGAAATTAGCTAATCGTTACTTGAGGCTACTGAATGATAAGTAAATACCTATTACCCACATTTATCCACTAGAAAAACATTTGTCTGTTAATGTTTATTCAGAAAATATTTTATGTTTTCAGAATTATTATGAAGTGTTTTTTAGTACCTAATTTTTTAACTATTGTTTATGATGTGGATTATGAACCCATTAACACTAAAAATAATTTAGTGCTGAATGTAAATAAGTTAATTAAATGTGATGTTTATTAATGGCAATTTCCTGTTAAGAATATTATTACTGCTTTAAAATATAATGTTGGGCACAGTGTAACTGTTGTCAAAATGTATATGAATAAATTCATTTATTTTAACGTTGCGTTAACAAACTGTTCTAGTGTTTTTACACAGAGAAAATTACTTATAACTTATGAATAAAATATTAATGTGCACAGAATTATTTTTAATTCAATCTTTAATGATGAACTAATAATTATTTTAATATGTAAAAAAAATCTGAAATTTTTGGGAATAATATAATTTCTTGGCAATATACTTAGATATTTGTGTATTAGATCATTTGTACCTACTTTCCATCAGTATGTTTTTTTTTTATTTGAGTTGAGATACTGGACAAAGTGAATGGTAAAATTACTATCAATTTATGTTACTCTAATTTGTGTTTTATTATTAATATAATAGTATTGAAACTGGTACATTTGAAATATAACAATGCTAAGTTGAAAATAGGCATCAAAATTATTTTTAGAGTAGTACCTGTTGCCATATATTATATTTTTGAATGTTGTCGATTAATATAGACTTAGAAAAAATATTTGAATAGCTTCCAAGTTGGAGACTAATTTAGAAACTAAATGACACATATCTTTAAAAAAAAAGGTCACAAACGGTGAAAGGTACTAATACTTTTTACTTTTAACTTTCCAATCTCGTATTTCTTCATATATTTAGTTGGATTAATTGCAATGAAGTAATTAGAAAATATCGCCTTTTCTTTTTGCGAGATTATATGTATAATGTAATCTTTGAACAAATAAAATAAACAATGTTACATAATCATTCAAGATATCTGTAAACAAGCATAAAAACAGATTGCTGTTGATTAGATATAATAAATAACATTATGTTTTCTGTCACAAATTTCTTATACAGCGTGGTAAAAAAGTTCTGCATAAAATTCATATTTTCATTAAACAATTTTTTTTGTTCGAAAAACGGTGAGACCCGTCGATTTTTATTTGATCCAGGGCACCTTGTTATGTGGAAAATTTTTGTTTCGATAATCCACTTACGGCAGCGATGACATAATTTTTTTTTAAATGACAACGCATATTTTTTTCGTTCGAAATTGATGACAGTGATAATTATCTAAACAACGGTGTGAAAATTTCGATGTCTTACATAACAATTTTTTTTAGAAAAATGCACCTTAAGTTCTTGAATGCAATAATTTGCTGTTTACGGATCAAATGCCTTAGAAAAAAATTTATTCGGCAGAAAGCATTTCAGATAACTTAAGTTGCAACTGGTGTTATGTAATATTTGCGGAATTATTCATCAGATATTGTCAGGATCCTGATTAAACTGCAAAATTTAGAACCAAGTTCAACCGCACAAAATCCAAATAGTATGTAGCAAATTAAGGTCGACTTTTTGTCTTCGAGTTTGCCGATAAATTCCCCAAAAAAAAAAGATCCAAAGAAATGTTTACTTGAAAGGAGTAGATTACCTGAAATATTGAAGACTAAAAATCAGTACCGATTTAACATTCTTTGGTGAAATCGTTTAATTCGAAATGGCAAAACTTAGTGAACGCGAAAGAATTGATATTTTGAGGATGATTGGTTTCGGCGATAAGTTACGAACCCATCAAGAAGCTTGCCAATTATTTAATGCAACGTACCCTGACAGACCACCAATTACGCAATCTACGGTTAGTAGGGTACTGGCAAGGTTTGAGGAAACTGGTAGTGTGAAAGATGCTCCTCGTGCGGGTCGTCCTAGAGTAGATGATGAAACTAGATTGAATATCCTGGTGGAGCTCCAGGACAACCCTCATTCTAGTACAAGGTCGATTGCATTGAACAATGATATTTCACATGTAACTGTGGTGAACTTTCTCAAAAAAGAGAAATTTCACCCCTATAAGGGTCACTTGATACATGCATTGACTGAGGACGACCCAGACCGCCGTCTCCACTTTTGTGAAGATTTAATGCATCGATGTAACGGAGACCCCGACTTCCTCAAGAACATAATTTTTTCTGACGAGGCTACTTTTTATCTTAATGGATCGGTGCATCGACATAACTGCCGGTATTGGTCTCAGGAAAACCCGCACTGGGTGCAAGAAGTAGATCATCAGCACCCCCGAAAGGTGAACGTTTGGGCGGGAATAATAGGGCGTCGTATTTTAGGCCCGTATTTTTTCGAGGAAAATTTAACTGCTGCTCGCTATTTGGATTTCCTGCGGTTCGATTTGGTCCCAAGCTTAGCAGAGTTATTCCCGAACAACGAGGATCCTGATATTCCTGAGGAAAGAATTTGGTTTCAGCAGGATGGTGCACCGCCCCATTATGGAGTGCAAGTACGGGAGTACTTGAATAACACGTTTACTGGCCGGTGGATCGGGCGACGCGGAACAATCGAGTGGCCTCCGCGTTCGCCTGATTTAACACCTCTAGACTTTTTTTTGTGGGGCTATTTGAAATCGCGTGTGTACACAAACAGACCAGGTGATTTGGAAGAACTTAAAAACCGTATTCGTTTTGAAATAAATCAAATCGACCCGGGAATGCTTGAACGAAGTGTAGACGGCGTTTACACACGCTTAGGACAATGCCAAATGGTACAGGGTGGGCAATTCGAACAATTTCGCTAGACTTACACAAACATTAGTGTAATTTTACTCGTTTGAAATGTAATTTTGTCAACTTTGTCCTTTTCGGAGCCATTAATAGTGTAAGTAGACAATTATCACTTATAAGAACTTAAGGTGCATTTTTCTAAAAAAAATTGTTATGTAAGACATCGAAATTTTCACACCGTTGTTTAGATAATTATCACTGTCATCAATTTCGAACGAAAAAAATATGCGTTGTCATTTAAAAAAAAAAATTATGTCATCGCTGCCTAAGTGGATTATCGAAAAAAAAATTTTTTCCACATAACAAGGTGTCCTGGATCAAATAAAAATCGACGGGTCTCACCGTTTTTAGAAAAAAAAATTGTTTAATGGAAATATGAATTTTATGCAGAATTTTTTACCACCCTGTATTTGTTAACCAGTCCTAATATGTTGTAGCACCTTTTAATTTATCGAGTTTAAAATTTGCTCGAAATTAAAATATGCTTGCTTAAAACTTTTTTAAAATTTTTTATTAGCATAGAAGATTTAGATAGTTAAAGATTTATAGAAAACATCATGATGGTATTTTCTCACACGGTTTATTATGGATAAATTAACCTTTTTATTCTATATTATACAGGGTTATTCCGTTTAAAAGTCCCGATCTCTATGCCTCGAAATTGAAAGAGATATTTAAGTTCTATAAAAAAATGGTACATATATTGTGCAGTCAACCACAAAGTTTTTTTTATAACAAGAACTTTAGAAAGCGATTCATAAAAAACCATGAAATTCGGAGTCACTTTTTTCCCAGATATTTGATTCTGAAAGTATTTTTTAAGAATAAAAATTATTTTTTCAAATTTAATTTTAGGTTATAAATAAGACTTGGAACTTTATACATATATACGTTTGTGGCCAATTGTACCAGGTCGACTAAAGTTTAAACTGTGCTTAAGTTGCAAATTAATATTTGTGTCAGATGTTAAAGAAAAATTTTGAGCAAAAAAGTAGAAAAAGGTCAAATAGAAAGCGAAATAAAATAATTATTATTGTCATTCTAACTAGTGTTGGCAACTGAAATTGGTTTTTTGGTTAACCGGTTTCGGATAATTCGGATTTTTACGAAATCCGAAAACCGGTTATTCGATTCTTCAAATATCCGATTATTCAATAATCTGTTCATTCAAATATGGGATTAATCGAATTATTTCTATCAATGTCAATAACTACATAACACTATAATATAGTTTTAGTGTTATGTAGTTATTGATATTGGCTACATAGTAGATACCTACTATAAAAATTAAGTTGAACTATTAAGGGAAATCCAATTTATTTTTATATTTGATCCTTGGATCTGATAAAAAAACAATCACCCACACCCATTTATGTAAATACATTGAAGAACCACAGTTTAAGTGTAACTGTCTTAACTGTTTTAACATTTTAAATTTTAACATTAGATTTAACTTTAAAAATTTAAAATATGTGAATATGTGATTAATATCTCATCAGTTTTTCAAAACGATTTTCAGATATCTGTTTTTAGCAATTATTCGAGTAACCGAATAACCGGTTTTAGAATATTCGTTTTTAACCACTATTTGCCTCGCTATTCCCCTAACCGGTTTTATCTGAAATCGGTTTTTACGGAACCTGGTTAGCTGGTTTCACTTTTTCCGGTTTTTGCCAGCACTAATTTTAACTAGCAACTTTACTCTGGCGTTAATGATTAGCAAAAATGTACACAGTGTTGCCTATGTTATTATACGTTATCTTTCTGCTGTAAAATATTTTTAAAATATCAATTAAAACTTATAGGCACTTAAAAGAAAAACACTTAATGAAAACAAATCGACACATCAACCCAATGATATAATAAGTTAATTTTAATTCTCTCACAAAGACAGTTACTTTTTAAACTATGATTCGTCACAATGCATTAGAGTTAGATTTAACTTGCAGTAAGAAACCAAAATATGTAGGTCTTTTTTTATATAAAATTCCCCATGGGACACATGGATGCATTATCTTTTATGCACACAGTAGTTGTCAAAATATACATACAAGATGTTAAATAACTATTATGTACAGAAACTTTAAGGACAGTTCTTTGGGTGAATTTAAGCCAGAATAGGTTATATAGAGATAAGCTCGGACATAAGTCTGCAAATCATTAATTTCAAAATACAGTGTGTTGAAATATAAATGCACATTTAAGGCTTACCTTGTATTATAAAAGTGACTCAGAATTTAATGACTCTCCACACTTTTGAGAATTACATTACAATTTATATGTACTATATAATCTTTTTTATATAACTTAGACACTAATATTTTTTGGTTTTTGTTCTGTATGGTACTGCGAAGATCATTAGGTCTCTGATACTTATTGTGTTGCCTTGTAGATGATGAATTCGCTAGTGATATAATCAACCTTCGCATGAAAACCGATGACTTTGAGCACATCAAGGTAATAGGTCGGGGTGCCTTTGGAAAAGTCCAACTAGTCCGTCACAAGTACACCAGACAGGTGTACGCTATGAAGAGGCTGAGCAAGGCCGACTTAATCAAACGCTCCGACTCGGCGTTCTTCTGGGAAGAACGCCATATCATGGCCCACGCAAAATCCGAGTGGATCGTACAGTTACACTTTGCATTCCAAGATGCGAAACATTTGTATATGGTGATGGATTACATGCCTGGCGGTGACATCGTCAACTTGATGTCAAACTATGACATACCCGAAACGTGGGCTAAGTTTTACACGATGGAGGTGGTGTTAGCATTAGACATTATACACTCTATGGGTTTCGTTCATAGAGACGTCAAACCTGATAATATGTTGCTGGATAAGTACGGCCATTTGAAGTTGGCCGATTTCGGCACTTGTATGAGAATGGATGAGGATGGTCTCGTTAGGTCTAACAACGTGGTTGGCACACCTGATTATATTTCGCCGGAGGTGCTTCAGAGCCATGGAAAAGGTAATTTTTTTGTTGTTGCTATTATTATTATTTTTTTTTGTAGATGACAAATTTAATTCAGTTTTAGTTAAATAAGTAAACTGTTGTGTACTAATGTAAGTAATGGTATTTGCAGTATATTTCTATAACTTTCGGTTATTAGATTATAAACTAAATTTATACATGTTTTTTTATTGGCAAATCTATGTTTTTGAGGTCTATATCAAATTTCATATTCAAAATAATATGTAATACAGACTATACATACACAGTATGATGATAAAAATGAATGAAATTTTTGAAGAGGACCCCAATTTTTTTTTTTTTTCAATTCTGTTAAGGAGGTTTATCGGGTACGTCTAAAGTCAATTGAGAGTTTCTATAGATTTGCTAGTGACTAAAGTAGTAAGCCTTTAGATTTGGCAACGTTGCACTTGGCTGGTGAGCTGAGCTCGACATTCGCTCGCTCGTGTTCGATCATTCTGTTTGTTTGGATGCTTAAACTTGAAATTTACATCGTATGTCACACCTGCGAATTTCAAATAATATGCTACGTCGAGAATCGCGGCGTTGCCGCTATCACGCATATGGAAATTAAGTTAGTCAACGACAGCAGTTTGAAGGAGAATTATTATAAATTATGTAACTTACAAGTATCTAATCGATTTCTACGAGCTGTCATATGGTTCCTTAGATGTCGTTTTCCTATTTATACAAGTTGCTGTGGAAATTCTGTGTTCGTCAATTGTTGCGCATTCTAAGTGTAAAGACCAGAAAATTCTGCATTCTCATAAGACTTCGTACTAAATCGTGAAAAATTATTTTCTTAATATCTGGTCTCTTAGGTATCCAAACTAGTCCTAATTTTTTTTGAAAATTTTCTTCATATTAATAAGTTTATATTAATTTTTTTATGAATATTTGTTTGTCGATTCCATATCAGATAAACTTCGTTAAACTATTATATGATATAATTAAGTGTATTAAAAAATATATAATCTAATTTTTCTCAAAATTCAACAGGGATATACGGACGAGAGTGTGACTGGTGGTCGGTGGGCATATTTGTTTATGAAATGCTCGTCGGAGAAACACCATTTTACGCCGACAGCCTTCTCGGCACCTACAACAAAATTATGTACCACGAGAGTAACTTATCGTTTCCCGAAGAAATAGAAATATCAAACGAGGCGAAATCTCTGATACAGGGTTTATTATGTGATAGAACTAAGCGTTTAGGGAGGAATAGTGTAGACGAAATAAAGAACCATCCATTTTTTATTAATAGCGAACAGTGGACGTTTGACAATTTACGCGATATGGCCCCTCCGGTTGTACCTGAACTTACGGGCGATGACGACACCAGTAATTTCGACGACTACGAGAAGGACGAAACCCCGGAGGAGGTCTTTCCTGTGCCAAATAGCTTTGTAGGGAACCACCTGCCGTTCATAGGTTTTACATACAACTCGGATTATCAGTTGCTGACCAGCGACGCAGTAGATAATAAAGCACTTAATGCGATTATTGATAGTAAAAATATAAATGCTCAAGTGATTAAGTTGGAGTCGCTATTAGAGCAGGAGAAGTCAAATGTAGATACGTTAGAGGCTAAACAACGAATCTTACTGGCTCAATTAGAAACGATAGCTCAAAGAGAAAGTGATCTAAGGGAAGAGGCTACTAAGTACGAGAAAGAAAATACTTTACTCAAACACAATTGCAAAGAACTGCAACGTAAAGCAGAATGTGAAAGCGAGAAGAGAAAAAACACAGAAAAGCTGCTGACCGAGTTAAAGAAAAGGTACGAAGAAGAACAAAACAAGCGTACCAGGGAAATGAACAACAACCAGCAGCATAACGACAAAATCCACGTGTTAGAAAAACAAGTGAACGAAATGCAAGAGAAACTTAAAGTAGAGACTGAAAATTGTCAGAGATTGAGGAAGCAAGCCAATGAATTGACGATGGCAAAGTCTAGCTCAGAGCTCAAAGTTACAGAATATCAAACAATGCTTCAAACCCTGCAGTCACAGCGTGACAGTCTTCAGTCGGAAGTGGCTTCTCTACAAGACCAATTGACCCAAGAGAAGAACTCTAGGTCTCAAGCTTCTGACCAACAGATGGTGCTCGAGAACAAACTACAGTCGCTGAATGCGGAGATGGAGAGACTTCGACAGAAAGAGATGAAAACCGCAGCTGACAACAGTCAGTTAACTGAAAGAATTTCGTTTTTAGAAAAGGAATGCGCCAGTTTAGATTTGGAGTTGAAGGCTGCTCAGAACATGTACCAGCAGGAAGTAAAAGCACATGAAGAAACGGAGAAGAGCAGGATGCTTAATAAAGAGGAGGCTAATTTAGAAGTAGTGAAAGGTAAGTTTAATTTTCAAGCATGGAAAAAATTGATGGAAATTTTTTGCGCAACAATATTTTTTTGCAAAATTTGTGGACACATTTGTTGCAAGAAATATTTTCTGCTATTCTAATGTGTAATAGCGATAAAAAAATCTGAATATTTAGACGTAATTTTACTTTATCTTAAAGCAGTAGTTATGACAATTCATTTACCAAAAATACCTAAGTTAGCGACCCTAAATCGAAAGGTCTCATTTAAGAATTTCCATAAAATATTCAAAAGGACTTATTTTCCCTGCGACTCAATAATTGCTTTACAATCAATGTTTATAATTATTGTCAATAACTTATTTTCATACATTTTTCTTTCTTAAAAGCCTATTATTTTATATTTAAAGTTTTCAATTTTATATAGGATTATTTACATTCAGTTAATTTAAAAATGTATCCTTTTAAAAAACTTCATTTTGAAGGAATTAAAAAAAAACTGGTTTGTGAGAAATTAGAAATGTTTCTAATTTAGCTAATTTTCACCAAAGCCATTTTTGACACTAACTACTAAAAAACTATTGTAAACACTATCACAAAAACATTAATACTAATTGCAAAATCGAATTTGAGTATTCAGAGTCGCTGGGGCCACGTGACTCTCCAGACACATTGCGTAAAGTGCACAACAGGAATGACGCTAAAGACTTTAGTTATCCAGCGATGTAATATGGTTGAACGTACTACAACTTATTTTTTTCTCAGAAACTATAATGATTTTACAAAATTTTTATTTACAATGTTGACACCATTTTTCATGCCGTATCTATTCCCAAATTTCCAACATCTGAGTTTCATAACTTTCTATTTTCAGTTCTCTATTTAATATTTGAAGTACCTTTCCTTATACTCTTATCTAGCCAAGATTTATTTCAGGAACGTTTTTGTCACTTTTTAGTTTCAAAATTCTTTTTAAAGTTAATTAAACTTGAATGAATATCCCAATTTTAAAAATGTCTCATAAATAAAATTCTAGAAGAAAAAAATTATGTTCCTAGAAAAAATTGTCAGCTAATGAACAAACCTAAAATTGTAGCTGTTGAAACTGTAATATAGATGCAGTTTCATAGTACAAAAAATCTCAAAACCCATAATTTTATACAAATTTTATATAAATTTCAGTGATATAAATTTATTTAAATAAATTTTAAATAATGTAATTGTGTAGTATCATGTAAAACAGTTCTAATATGTAATTTATTAATATGAAACATAAGACAGGCAAACGAGCAGTTAATGCATATACATTTATTGCTAATTTCAACAAGTAATAAAGAAGTATATTTTACCATGTTACTGTCATAAATAAAACACATTGTGACATCATTAAAAACTTGTATAAACACAACTATCTGGTCCGATTTAGTATGAGTTAAACGTTAAAAATCTGGAGATAACAATGTAACTACACTCCAGACATAAATTTATTGTTTTTGTTGATATTACAAGTTTTATTTTTACTACCAATGTTATGTTTTTAATTTTGTATTTAAGACATATTTTATAATCAAAAATAATGTTCAATGTTTTTTCATGCAGAACTAATGGAAAGGATAATTTCTGGTAAATAATTTGATGACCTTTTTCATTGCTTTTTATTGAATGCTGACCAATAAACAATTTTTTCAGCTTTGCAGACCAAACTAAACGAAGAGAAGAGCGCAAGACAAAAAGCGGACTTGAACTCACAAGAAAAAGAGAGGCAAATATCAATGTTGTCGGTCGACTACAGGCAAATCCAGCAACGGTTGCAGAAACTGGAAGGGGAATATCGGCAGGAAGTCGAGAAAGTTAAAGCTCTTCATAGTCAGATAGAACAAGAACAACAGAAGAAGACCATCTTGCAGTCTGAAGTCGGGCAGCAAGCTACTGAACTCGCCAAATTAAAAGCAAGAGAATCTCAGTTAACTGCGGAATTAACTAAGTTGCAGGTAAGTCATTACACTGAAAGTAGTTATGAAAGTGATTGATGAATTGTTATTTTTCAGGAACTTAAGAGAACTCTTGAGGAAGAACTACTGAGAGTGAAAAGCAATTGGCAAAGGGACCAACTCCAGATGAAGGAATTGCAGGAATCCTTAGAAACGGAGCAGTACTTCTCAACCCTGTACAAAACCCAAACCAACGAACTCAAGGAGGAAGTCGACGAGAAAAATAGGATAAACAAGGAGTTTGAAGAGGAGAGAGTCTCTTTGAAACACCAGTGCCAGATAGCGCTTGCCAGAGCGGATTCTGAAGCCCTTGCTCGATCTATTGCTGAAGAGACGGTGGCCGACCTTGAGAAAGAAAAGACCATGAAGGAACTCGAGCTCAAAGACTTACTTGCCAAACACAGGAATGAGATAAACACGAAAGAAGTGACGATAAACACTTTCAAAGACCGCGAGCTGGAATATAAGAAATTGAATGAGCAGTTGCAAAAGGAAAAAGAGGAACTCAACAGGCAATTCAAACAGTTGCAAGAAGAATTCAACAGGAAGATTGGTAATAATGAAGAAATTGAGAAATTGAAGGCTAAGCTGCAAACCGAGTCGATGCTCAAACAACAGGCTGTTTATAAGTTGCACGAAATTATGAACAGGAAGGACCTGAGGGATACCGGCAAAGGTAAATCGAAGATTTCCAGTGCCGATCTGAGAAGGAAAGAGAAGGACTTGAAGAAATTGCAGCAAGAATTAAGTCAAGAGAAGGATAAGTATAACCAGATGATTACCAATTTCCACAAGAACGTTCAAGACATAAACGTAAGTTTTTGTAAAATTCATATTTAATTGATTACATTTGTGATTTCTTTAGGTTCAACTCAATGAAGAAATTGCCGCTAAACAGCGCCTGCAAATGGAACTAGACAGCAAAGATGCCGAAATTGAGCAACTCCAATTGAAACTGTCTGCTTTGAACAGTGAAACGGCCTCTTTGAGTTCGGCAGATAACGACGGCGACGAACTAAACTCAGACTGCGTGTTCGAGGGGTGGCTGTCTATTCCGTCCAAGCAAAATATAAGAAGGCACGGCTGGAAGAAGCAGTACGTCGTCGTTTCTAGTAGAAAAATAATTTTCTATAATTCCGATAATGATAAGCTGAACTCCGATCCTGTGATTGTACTCGATCTCTGGTAAGTACAAATCTTCACCACGAAAAAAAAATTTTTTTGGTCCTTCGAGCTGGATCGTTTCAAGATGTCTTCCGTTTTTAGTAGAAGAGAATTTCGAGGGATAAAGTTTTTTGCTTTTCCAGTAAAGTGTTCCACGTGAGGTCGGTGACCCAGGGGGATGTGATTCGAGCCGATTCCAAAGATATCCCTCGAATATTCCAGTTGCTGTACGCGGGAGAGGGCGAGGCGAGGAAAACCGAGGAACAGAGCAACACCCTGGACGTCAGTTCCATAAGGAGCTTCGAGGATAAGCCCGGATGCATCGTGCACAAAGGTCATGAGTTCCTAAGCATCTCTTACCACATGCCGACTACTTGTGAGGTTTGTCCGAAACCAATGTGGAATATGTTTAGACCCCCACCTGCTTTAGAATGTAGACGTAAGTGTTTGTTTAAGTGTTCTCCCATTTATGTAGTGTTTCCAGTTCATTGTAAATAATCTACATCTTTCTTCTGTGATTTCCTCGTGAGACTTTAGATGAAGTAATAAATAAAATTTGGATATATATGTCACCAAAATCGAAGGTCAAATGTATTCAAAGAACTCTCGAATGGTCAAGTGACATTCTAAGAATTGCATAAAATATTTTGCTTTTCTCTAACAATTTTAAATTATGATTAGTTCCAAATTCTATCTACAACAGAATCTCACTTATCCGAGGTCTCTCGATCCTGACTGACTGACTCCAGCCACACAAAAAAAAAGTTGTCTGTACTTTTCTTGCGACATATGTTATCTGCAGTATTTTTGCCTCCTGATCACGAATCCGGTGTCAGAATTGAGTTATCACATCACAGGAATTTCCTAACCTCAAAAAACAGGTGAAAAATGGCAAAAATTTATGAAAAAGTACTAGGAAAAATATTAAAAAAAATTTTTTTTCTTTGTTCAAATGTTAAGGCCCCGCCAAACGTTAATCTGCGGCCAGAATTGATGGATCTTTTTCTAACCTAAAAAAACGGGTCAATTAACACTTTAGCTGCCCATGCCGGCACAGTGTCGGTGGTCGGGTTCCACGACTAGTGCCCCTGCCGCATGTGTGTCAGCTCTGACGGTTGAAGATATAACGACCCGCTTAGGAGCGGACACCATGGTTGTGAACTAGATACGGTAGGGGCACGTTGCTAAAACCTCTATAAAGTTAATTACGCGCTTGGTCCGGGACATTTATTTTATTACAAGAAATGGCGTTCCAGGGCCATCTGGGGCACAACAACTTAGAATAAGAAACCCAAAAAAGCTTACTGAAGATGAAATGCTGGTTTTGGCATATTATAGTGATTCGGATGAAGAACCTTTTCAAGATTCAGGGAGCGAGTGGAGCGGAGTAGAAAAATTACCGGAAGATTTTGCAAACGATTTAGGCGATCCACTGGAGCCACCTCTAGACATTCAAAATGAGGAAGTAGACCCTGATTTGTGCAATATACATGTTCAAATTTTATGATTTGTCGCCGACATTGGTGCGTCAGTGGGCACTTCGCAGCAAATTTGGTATACGGATGTTTTCGGGGTCTCTGGTCAAGGATCCGAGGTCAATTTTACAAAATTCAAGATGGCGGATCCAAAATGGCCGATTGAAATTTTAAAAAATAACACATTCGCGCCAAATTTGGTATACGGGGATTTTCGGTGTCACTAATTACGTATCCGAAATGAAATTACAAATTTTTTTTTGTATATTTCCTAGCACTTTCGAGAATTTTTGCTATTTTTGACTTGTTTTTTGAGGTTAGGAAATTTCTGTGATGTGATAGCTCAATTCTGACACCGGATTCTTGATCAGGAGGAGGCAAAAATACTACGGATAACATATGTTGCATGCAAAGTACAGACAACTTTTTTTTTTGAGTGGCTGTGTTATTAGAAATACCGGAATATTAAAGAATTATTATAAATAATTACAAAGCCTGTCTAAAAACAATATATATTATTTCATTTTATACTTATACTCCAGTCGAATTAGATCATAAAACCTGAAAACTTGAAAAATTATTAATAAACATTTTATGGCACTTTATGACGGGGAAGGCTATGTAGAAATAAATATCAAAAAAATAACTCGAAAGAAGTAACATTACGTTGGCAAATTGCGAATAAGTCGCAAATTTACGAGTTTTTTCACTTTTTTTATTGCTACATCTAGACAATCTAGACAACTTATCGGAAAATTAGTAATTTTATGTTGTAGGCAATTAAATTACCCATAACTTAAGGTACTTAGAGTAATTTTTCGCTAATTTGTTAACTGTAAAATAAAGATGGAACCCCGAAAAGTTTTCGAAAGTTGTGCATTATTATTGCAAAAAGTGATGGATGTTGAAGAAATTTATGGAGAAGGCGGTCAATCCAAAGACCAACATGTGTCCCAAAGGCCGATTCGATTGACCATGAACATTGAACCAAATTTGAAACGTTCAAGTCAAAAATCTGGCGAGGGCGACGTTCAAGTGCATGCGCGGGCCCGGCGCTCCTCTCGCGTGCAGTTCATTAACGTTAACTTTTACTGGTGCTAGCGCTTTTATTACGTGAGCTATCAATGTAAAACTTCAAGAAAATAAAAGTTTAACCCTTTTTTTAATTGTTTCTAAAATTCCGGTGCAATATGTTAATTAACAATTAACGTTATTAAAAAAAAGCTATCTTGGGATCAAAGAGGCATAGTTGATTTCAAATTTTTTTTTAAATTACCATAAAAATAAGCTCTATTTAATGGAAAAAGAGTGAATTCCCGAGCGGTTTTTGCCTGGCCCTGGGACAATTTGTATATAACGCTGTTTTGCACGTTTTACTTTGTTGTAACGGGCTACTAACGTGCAATAAAATGTAGTAATAATTTTTTCACATTGAAATTCTAATTCGACTCGAGTATTATTCTTTTAAAAGGTAAGAGGTTATTTGATTTTGTGACTACCGCGAAAATATTTTATTTGTGAGACAGTGGTATTTTTTCGTTTATTTAAGACTAGAACCTTAAAATTTTTATATTTTTACACATATTAGAGATTTAAAACACCAAAACTGGGTATACTCAAAATTCCATATTAGACAATATAATGCATATTATGTCATGTACGTAACGCTGCACAAATGGTCTGCAAATACCAAATTATTGGTAGGCCTGCATTAACTGACGGCAGCAATAGAGAGGTTCTACTATATTTCATAGTTTTTTTTTTAATAGAATCAAATTTTAACTAAAATTTCAATTCAGTGATTAACGGTTTTATAATCTAATGAGACCTTTAAATTTAACAACAGTATATACAGGGTGATTCAGAATTCAAAAAAAAAAAAATTGGATGTACAGGGGACTCTTACATATACAATTTTGTAAAGAAAAAATCAAAAAGGGCAGTTCGAAAATGATTTAAACATACACTTCTGCACAGCACTGGAAACTGGTCCACTGTAAAATCTGACCTCGCACAATGCGACCGACATGGCGGTAGTATGATAAAAACAGACAGAAACTTGAAAGAATTTTGCAAGTAAAGAAATAAACAGAATTATATAGCACCTATTTCATATCAGCACATTCAACTGGTTTTGCCGCTATTGTTATTATTAATTAATAAAATTAATTTTTGGTTTTAAGTAAAATAATTTGACATACCCGTTGATACAACTGTTCAAAATTTTGTTCACCAACGTGTAAACACATTTGGGTACGTCTTACTCAGTTTTTACGAACTAATACAAATGTTGTCTTGCTTCGCCATAAATTAAAATCATATCCATCAACTCCGAGTTGCTATACACGCAAGCCATTTTTGACACTAACTACTAAAAAACTATTGTAAACACTATTGCAACGACGATTGTAAAATCGGATTTCTGTATTCGGAGTTACTGAGGTCACGTGGCTCTCCACGCCTATTACGAATGACGCTAGAGACTACAGTTTTCCAGCTATGTAATGGTTGAAAGTATTATAACTTCAATAATTTTTTTCTTGGTAACTATAAGGATTTTGCAAAAAATTTTTTATGATATTGACTCCATTTCTCATGCCGCATCTATTCCCAAATTTTTTTGGATGAGTTGTGAATGACCCTGTGTATATTGCAATTAGCAAACTTTACTTATGAAAAATAATACCCTTGCCACCTTTTAAAGTCGGTTTATGCCACTGCTATTTAATAATAAATTGTTTTAAAAGCTGTTACATAGCTCTCGCAAGCTTTATTCTTTTGCTTTGCAATTCTTAATGTTTTTAAAACATTAGTTTTGTTTCTTTGCTGACTTGCGAAAATTGTGAAAATATCCAAAAAAGACAGGATATTTCCTTTCAAGAGATAATTTTTTTAAATCTTTAGGGTGGCCGAAATTGCATAGACCAAACTTTACCTGGTAGTAGAAGCAACTGCTCACACATACAAAAACGTCGTTTGACATCTTTTGGCTTTCAAACGTTTCGAAACTGTTGTATAATCAACTCCTAATGATTCTACAAGTTCAGCTAGCGTCTGACATGAGTCTTTATGAAATAATTCCTTCAATTATTCTTCGTCTTCAAACTGTTTCGGTGCGCCAAAGCGTTTCTTATCTTCAACATCAGAATAATTATTTTTGAGGGGTCTAAAACAATCTCTGCACGTTTGTGACGGAGCATGGTCACCTTAACTCTCAACAAGAATTCTGGGTGCTTTAACTGCATATTTCTTTTGAATAAAGTAGTACAGTAAAATTCCCCGCAAATACTCTTTTTTCGGCACGAAATTTTACTATGAAGAGAAAAGTAGTTTACACTTCGGCGAAATAATATACACTGAATTTCAAGCTTGCTTTTAGTACATACTTCTTTATAAGTGTGTTACCATCTTAAACTAGATGCACGCAGTTCTGGTAACGTCATCTGTTGGACAATAGCAGAAACTTATTCAACATCTCTATAGTATTTGAAATAAAACTATTCTAAAATTATTTTAGGAAATTCACGTACTATTAATAATACGTATCGACGTAGCGCCTTCAAAATGCGACATATATTGTATTAAATTGTTCAGTAGCGTTAAAAACTGTTTCTTAGCCTTTTTTTATTTAAAAATTAGAACAAATATTTTTAATTTTACCTTTTCCCTTAGACAGTCACAATTCTGTAGAAAATAAGATGTTTTTAACCAGATTACGAAGTTTGATGTCGTTTATCGAATAATTCTGTATTTAACGCGTTTTGCTGAAAATATGCATGTCGCAACGAGGATATGTTCTTTAAAATATAAAAAAAATCTCAGTTCTTTAATAGAATAATGTCAGTGTATGAAATTGGTGAGCACTAAAACTACGACGTTTAATAGGATTTCTTGAGAAACTAAAGACATGAACATCAGGTGTGAGACTTTGGTGGTCTAAGTGGTATTGATCATACTAAAAAAGATGGAGTGAAATTGTATCTATTCCTAAATTAATTCCAGTTCATAATTATTATTTCATCTTACGAACGATGAAAAGTGATTATGTATATAAGACGTTTTGAATATGTCTCAGAAACTAAGCATTTCCTGCCCTCTTTTCTCTTATTCTGGAGAATTCTCTATCACCAAGTAAGTTTGGTCCATGCAATTCAGAACACCCTGTATATTATTGAAGTTAATTAGCGATGAAAGAATTGATTTATTCAGATTTGTTATAGTTTTGTAAAACCGTTTTAGTTTTTCTAAAAATTTTCTTTTAAATTTCAAATATGACATTTCTATCAAATTAACAATATTAAAATTTATTATAAGTTATATACAGGGTGTCACGCTTAAATATAATATAAGCCTGTAACTTCTTCATTTTTTTGACCGATTTAAAAAATTTTTATTTGGGAATGTAGGCTAAAAAAACTATCTAACTGTGACTACTGTTTTTATTGATACAATTCACGGTCAACTAGGACGCGTTTTCTTAACATCAAAAAGGCTGATTGGTATTAGCAATTTTTTTCCAAAAAGCAGATTACGTATTCTCATTCAGTATCCCTTAAAATGTCTTACCACCAAGTTTCATCAAAGTCGATACATCTTCAGGCAAGCACTCCATGTCCTGAAATGTAATACAAGCTGTAACTTCTTTATTTTTTGGCCGACTAAAATAGTTTTTTTTACGAAATGTAGGGTAAAAAATAACTATCTGACTGTGATACTGCTGTTTTTTATTAATGCAATACACGGCCAACTAGTGCTCGTCTGAAGATGTATCGAATTTGATGAAACTTGGTGATAATCGCTAATACCAATTAGAGTTGGCCCTGAATTGCATTAATAAAAACAGCAGCATTATAGTTAGATAGAGTTTTTTTTATCCTATAATCTAAAAAAAAAATTTTGGAATCGGTCAAAAAACAAAGAAGCGACAGGCTTGTATCGCATTTAAGAGCGACAGTACAAACAAATGTCAATATGTTGGTAGAAATTGAATTTCTCCAAGCGACTGAAATTGAATCACTAGATTTTGTGTTTGAAAGAGCCATTTCCATTTCAGGATGTAGGATAAAAATTCACAAGGACCATTTGGATAGAAAGGAGGACACCGTGCCTCCTTGCAAGCTACACTACGATCCTTCCTATGCCAAAGAATTGCTGCTCCTGGCCGCGTCCCAGGAGGAGCAGAAGCAATGGGTCACCAGACTGAGCAGGAAAATACAGAAATGCGGGTTCAAAGCCAATAATTCAAATGCCATAGATTCTGCTAAGATATCCCCTAGGTGAGTGACGGCTTTCTTGACGGTTGAGGCATGACGTTAGTGCTGTATCTCTCTCTTTAGCTGTGGTCTTTTCAATCTCGGCTTGGTTAATGCATTAGGTGTAGAATGAATAGCAGATTATTCTCGCTTGGCAGTTAAGAAATACTCGTGTTTGTGATTCACAGGATATTTTTAGGTCTTAGGAACATTTGCTCATCGTTTCTTAAGAGAAATATCGCAATTTTCAAATTTTTGATATTGACTAACTTTAGAGCGGTGATATTTTCTAAATCTCGATTATTTAAAACAAAATGAAATGGCACGTCTTAAATTTTTGCTAATGAAAAGTGTAAAGGGAATATTTGTTGCTAATTGTCTTTGTTTTTTTTTTACTAAAGTTTGTGTGTTTAGTTTTCCTGCGATTTAAAATTCTTTAAATGTGCTATAATTGTTTGATTTTTTTGGGCTCTAAATTTTGACTATTACATAGCGTTTGTATAAATTAACGTAAAACTGTGCCGTCTTCGTCTATTTCAGTTTTGATGTCGCGATATTTCCTCCTATTTTTCCTTCAAATGTGCCTCAAATTTGTTCACGATAATAAAAGAAAAATGTGTTCGGTATTACGGATATTTTCTTATGTAGTCAGGAAACCAATACAAAGATTTGCACAGACTTTCTATTCACATTTGCTTGAGACGACCTATACAAGATGTAACTAGAAATGTTTAAACTTTAGTGACCAATTCTGTTACAAATTGACAAAAAAAATTTTTACTTTTCTGGAGACGCTTAACTTTCAGGATATGGGATGTTAAAATTTAAAAAAAAAATGTAATTTCAATGGTGACCTTTCACTTTTCTTCCAAAATATTTGAAATATAGACTATTACTATAAAAACTTATAGGATGTACAAAAATTCACATTTTGAAATAATAATACATAATTCAATTAATCACATTTTTCATGAATAAAATTATTTGCATGTATTTCTTCGGTTATTTTTTTTAAAACAAAGTTTTTTTATTAGTTTGTGACATAATTTGCTACTTGAGTTTGTGCAAGAATTTTAATTACACCCTATAGACCAAGAAATAAAGGTGAAAAATTATCGAGAAATCGTGAAAATTACTGGGCGTGATTTTATTGTTGGAAAGTCTTGGGAATGATAATACAAGAGGCATCTCATCTCGTGGGTCATGAAAAAAGTATAGGGTCATTGTTTTTTATCAACAAATAGGTAAAAAATTCGTCATTTTTTGTTCTACGCATTATTGTAAAAAAACTATTAATCTCAGCAAAAAAGTTCAACAGGTGATTTGATGTAGAGAAACTCATCTTTAAAATGAGACTTTATAAGTTAAAATTGCTTTATAAACAAAAAATTTATTGCAAAATTAAAAGGAAAAAGTGCTTTTTCTTTAATTGTTAATAACTTTTTAAATAATTAATAAAATCTTACCAAACTTTCCCAAAATGTGAGTTTATATCCTTAAGAGATGTGCAAAAGATGGGCTCGATCGGTCAAATAGTTTTTGCAAAATTCTATTTATTTATCCCATTTTTGCAAAAAAGACCCATTTTCAAATTACTATTCCGGGGGCAGGGTTATGACTAAAACATTCTTTTTGGGCTCATTTTCTTCGAAGGGACACCAAGTATCCTATAGTTAAAAAAAAATTAAAAAAAATTTCAAATTTAGTTGTAAGAAAAATTGCTAACTCCGGACCTTATTTTTTTTCAATTTGTAGATTTTTTGTGAGCTTTCGAAAAAATTATTTTTTTTAACTAGAGGATACTTGGTGTCCCTTCGAAGAAAATGAGCCCAAAAAGAATGTTTTTTTAGTCCCTCCGGAATAGGGCCTTTTTGCAAAAATGGGATAAATAAATGGAATTTAGCAAAAACTATTTGACCGATCGGGCCCATCTTTTGCACATCTCTTAAGGATATAATATTTCACAGTTTCTCTAGATCAAATCGTCTGTTGAACATTTTTTGCTAAGATTATTATTTTTTTTACAGTAAGAACGTAGAGAGTAGAGCGTAGAACAAAAAATTACGAATTTTTGACCTATTTGTTGATAAGAGATGAGACGCCTCTTGTATTATCATTCCCAAAAGTTTCCTACAATAAAATCAGTAATTAATAAATTTCAAAATGTTTCCTTTCCTGATCTACTATAGAAATAGTTCCCAAGATGGAATAAAAGGCTAAAAAAATTTTGAAGTCCTTTTGAAAAATGACCTCTTACTTTTCAAATACAATTATTTTTTATTTTTTTACAGTATAAGTTAAAAACTCATCCTGTTGAAAGTGAGGTACCTAATTATGAGATTTGTCGTTATTCCACGGAATGGAACTCAGACAGTTTTTAATTACGTTATTCATATAGCTTAAAATTAGCTTTGCTCAAAAGTACTAATTTTTTTGGTAAATGTATTTTTTTAACTCCCAACATGCATCGTATTTAAGATTTAGTGTAATGTAAATAAGTATTATGTTTTATTTTTGCATGCTCGGCATTTGTAACTAAGGAGATCCTTTATATTTATTGTATTTTTTTAAATAACGTTGAAAATAAAATTTAGACATTATTTTAGTTTTCTTTTATGTTTGTTTCGTTTTTACCTTTTTGTTCATATCCGGACGGAAAATAAAAAAGGAAATTTTAATTGTAACCTTAATTTTATTCGTCACAATGAAAATGTTCTAAATAAATAAATAAATTTTATATACTGGGTGTAATTTTGAATGGTGGTTATACTTATATGGTTACCTTTGACCTTTACAAACATTGTAAAATTGTTTTCTCAAATTCCGTTCTGAAAACTGGATTTTTTTTTAACCTCTTTTTCATAATTTTTATACCCGTCTGCTGTACAGGCTAGTGTAACCTCAAAGCACCATGCACCCTAGTCGCAAGCGCATACCCAATTGACAGCTATGGGATGCATTGTCAAATCTCATGTTTATTGATTCATATGCATGTTTCTTCATAATATCACAGAAATTTAACAATGAAGATACACAAACACAATGTGCCATCTCTAAACAGTGACATAAATAACTTCGTAAGTTTACACTTTCCTAATTGATTAAATTTTTTAATGTTCAGCAGGTTGTTGGCATTGACATAAAAAGAATATGGCGACTTTAAAATATGTCGCAAAATCATACAAAAGGAATATGTTTTTACAAAAATATTTTCCATTGTAGTTTCATTCTCTGTCACTTTTCATAAAGTTGATTTAAAAAGGTAATGACAGGCAACATGATGAGCACGCACATACAATCTAAACTAATGCAAAAAATTAAAGGGTCAAGAGAATTTCCGAAATTTTTCCGTGATTTTTGACAAATTGTATTTATGTGAAAAATGATAGTATCGGGAATTTCAAAAAAGCATTTTGAAGCTCTAAGGGTCTGGTTTTTAGATCTATCGGTCGAAATTTTTTAGGAGCTACGGTTATCATGCACTTCTAAGAAATAGCGCGAAAAAAAATTTTGCAATATTTTTTTTTAATTTTTTCCGAGCACGGACTTGGAAAAATTTTTTTCAGCGAAGCCATTGCATTGAACAGAAAGTTTGTTTATTCAGCTTCTGCTTCCTTTTTTTTTTAATTTTCGATATGACTATTTTTCATCGAAATATCGGACTTTTAATGGAGAAGGATCCTTTTGTCTTCAGTCATCGATATCTTGGCGACGAATGATCGCACAGAGGATTGAAGGGCAGTTTCGAAGACTGGAATAAATTTCCTATAATATGCTGCCGCAACTTTTCGGAAAAATTGTTTTTTTCACCTTTTATACAAATTTTAAAAAACAGGAAAAAAAGGGGTAATTTATGTTTTTTTAGAAAATTAACGGCTAAATTATTAATTCACGAAATAACTAATGTTAAGCATGACTTTTACAGTTCGATATACCCAGAAGAACCCTGTAAAGTTTCATCTCGATCTAGCGAACCGTTTCTTTGTTTCAGTCAAAACTCTTGAAAAAAATTAAAGGGTCACGTTTTTTGAGCTTAAAACACTTCAAAATCATGATTAAAATAGGGGAAAAAAATTTATTTCAGGTTTTCTCACATTTTCACCCCAATAACTTAAATTAATGAAAAAAAAATAATGTGTTTTTTCAGAGAAGAAAAAGGGTAGTTTTGGAACAAACTCTGTTTTAAGTGATTACAGACTGTACAAAAATTAATTAGAAATTTGTCTCAAAAAATGGTATGAATCGTGTTCGAAATCTGAACTTTAATTTTAATTTGATTAAAAGTTCATGAACAAAAGCATAGGATGGAAAAGCCGAATTATGCTGGAAACAATTAGATTTTGTTTTCTTGAATCTCCGGAAGGTTGTCCAAAAAAATTTAAAAAATTTCCAAAATTTTTCGAAATATTTTTTTTTTTTAAAAATTGCAAAATTTTTTTGTCGCGCTATTAGAATCACATGATAACCGTAGCTTCTAAAAAATTTTAACTGAAAGATCTAAAAACTAGAATCTTAGATTTTCAAAATGCTTTTTTTTAATTCCCGACGATACGACCATTTCTCACCTAAATACAGTCTGTCAAAAATCACGGGAAAATTTCGGAAATTCTTTTGACCCTTTAATTTTTTGCATTAGTTTAGTTCAGAAGCTACCCAGTGGCGAAATAGACAAAAAACGATTTTTTACTATCCGATTTAAAAACTATTTCAGATTAGTATTCTGGGAAACACATTATTACCCTTAAAAAACTGACCCCCAATTAAAGTTACACCCTGTATACAGTGCTTCAAAACAAAAATATGTTTACTTTCAGTTAAGACAAAAATTCTAAAATTTAAATTAAATGGTTACACGGATGATCTANGTTTTTTTTTCAAAGAAAAAGGGTAGTTTTGGAAAAAACTCTTTTTTAAGTGATTACAGACTGCACAAAAATTAATTAGAAATTTGTCTCAAAAAACGGTATGAATCGTGGTCGAAATCTAATTTGATTAAAAGTTGATGAACAAAAGCATAGGATGGAAAAGCCAAATTATGCTGGAAACAATTAGATTTTGTTTTCTTCAATCTCCGGAAGGTTGTCCAAAAAAATTTCAAAAATTTCGAAAATTTTTCGAAATATTTTTTTTTTCTTCAATTTAAACATTTGTGGTGAGAAAACCTGAAAAACTTTTTTTTCCATTTTAATCATGATTATGAAGTGTTTAAGTTCAAAAACATGACACTTTAATTTTTTTCAAAAGTTTGACTATTTGAAACAATAAAGAAACTGTTCGCTAGATCGAGATGAAACTTAACAGGGTTCTTCTGGGTATATTGAACTGTAAAAGTCATGCTTAACGTTAGTCATTTCATGAATATTTCTAATTTAGCGATCAATTTTCTAAAAAAACATAAATTACCCTTTTTTTCAGTTTTTTAAAATTCGTGTAAATGATGAAAAAAATTTTTTTCCGGATAGTTACGGCAGAATGTTATACGAAATTTATTCCAGTTTTCGAAACTGCCCTTCAATTCTCTATAGGACCATTTGTCGCCGAGATATCGATGATTGAAGACAAAATGATCCTTTTCCATTAAAAGTCCGATATTTCAATGAAAAATGGTCGTATCGAAAAAAAGGAAATTGAAGCTGAATAAACAGGCTATCTGGTCCATGCAATGGCTTAGCTGAAAAAATTTTTTCCAAGTCCGTGCACAGAAAAAAAAATGCAAAATTTTTTTGTCGCGCTATTAGAATCGCATGACAACCGTAGCTTCTAAAAAATTTTCACTGAAAGATCTAAAAACTAGAATCTTATGATTTTTAAAATGCTTTTTTTTAATTCCCGACGATACGACCATTTCTCACCTAAATACAGTCTGTCAAAAATCACGGGAAAATTTCGGAAATTCTTTTGATCCTTTAATTTTTTGCATTAGTTTAGTACAGAAGCTACCCAGTGGGGAAATGGACAAAAAATGATTTATTACTATCAGATTTAAAAACTATTTCAGATTAGTATTCTGGGGAACACATATTATTACCCTTAAAAAACTGACCTCCAATTAAAGTTACACCCTGTCCAAAACAAAAATATGTTTACTTTCAGTTAAGACAAAAATTCTAAAATTTAAATTAAATGGTTACACGGATGATCTAACTACTCGTAAATATTAACATTATTGTGTTTAACTTTTATTTTGTTGCATCCGTTTTACAGTAACAAATAGATAAAGTTTAATCTTGAAAAATGGTAAGTGTTTTTAGTATGTTGAGAAATTTAAGAATTCAGTCCTTTGAAATTAAATTGGTGTTTTCTTAGTAAACCACTATTTTATTTGTTCTTTTTTCTCTTTTTTTCTTTTGGTGCAAATTAAATTAGAGGAATTCACCTTAACATGAATCATTCTCAGGTTTCTTAACACCTGTAGTACTAATAACTTCTAGCAGATATTAATAAAACACTTTTTTATATTTTTTAGTCATTAGTGGCTAGTTGTAGATTTTTTATTTTAAGTAGTGTAATTGATTTTTCAGCCGAACTTACTCCATTTTAATAAGGGACCACTACTAAGCATGGATAGCTAGCATGACAATTGGGATATATTATGGTGAAAGTAACGGCCACTATAGAGAAATTTGTCGCACATTACGATTTTTCTTTCAATCAAATATCTCTATTTTGGTTAGGCAAAAACTTTAAACAAATCAAATTTGTGTCAGATAAGTATGAAAATTCTTTCGTGTGAAAAGTGTTTAATCTGATCTAACAAACTGCCAACATTGTCCCCAGTTGTTGAATATTCCAAATGTAAATGTTATGGTGTTAAACTTTTTTCTAATTTGTTTTTGTAACATAGCTTTAAATTTCCCAAATAAGGTTACATTGAGGATAACTCCGCATGATTCAGTCTTATAAAATGAGAGAAATTTAATTTTATCTGGCATAAATCCATCTCATCTATTCTTTTCCTAACATCAAACTTAGAAGGTTAGTGAAATTTTCTACTAACGGTGTGCTAGTTATTTTTACTTGTGTATAATTTTCATGTGATAGTGTACAAAATGGCTGTTAAATTTGAACATAAAGTTGGTATTGGTTGTACAGGGTGTTAGAAAAAAGGAAGTCCAACCATTAATAGAAGGTTCTTTGGGTGAAAATGAAAATAGTGGGACTTTCTCTGTGCCGTTTTTCATTTAGCTGCTTCTCAAGATGTGTCAAAATTACAATTAAAAAAAAGTTTTTCGTAACATTTTGTTGAAATTTTGCAAATTTTTACGTAACGCCGATACATATTTTGTTCAATTTAGGACAAAAAAAAACATACTTGCACGAACAGAGAAAAATGTGGCCTTAATACGAATGACTGAAACTTTTCCTGTCCATGCTTATGATTTAAAAATATTGTCTTATCCAAACTATAAGACATTTTCTACTCTTATTTTTTTCATTCTTTCAAAACATTGTAACTTCTTTGGATATGTGATTTTTTTTATTTTAGACTCCATTAGGACTCGGTATTTTTAAAGAAAATTGTAAGCTATGGTATTTTGACTTTAATTTTCTCTAAAAAAGATGGTTTTTTGGGTTGATATGCCCTAACCTATATACCTGGTCATGTACATTGTACTTCCTTAGCCTTATCTAGGAGTCTTTGACCTTGTTCTCGGGCTAGGCTCTGTGGAGCAGATTCACTATGAGAATCTCTATTCTCAACCTTATGTTCATTTTGGTTCTTGTTTGTTGGTTCTAGGGCATTTAGAGCCACTACGGACAGAACCGCTCGTCAGACATTGGTAGTCTTTTAAAAAGTTGCCTAGTGGTCTTGTAACTGGTCACATCCAAAGCTTCTGAAGATGCTAACAATGAAAAAAGGTGAACGTTTGGAAGCATTGGATGTGACCAAAGAGGCCTCTATGGAATGTCTCAGAGAACCAATATTGTCTAAAACGCAGTTCCGTCTGTAGTTACTTTAGAATCAACAACAAGAACCGAAATGAACACCAGGAGGTTTAAAAATGAAATCAAATGTAAATTTGTAACTGATAGCATCTAGATGCAAAGACCACGAAATAACATCCTGAACAACCATCATTTTATCAATCATATCATCATCTATTTAACGTAATTTGAGAAATTTTAATAATTTGGATTATAAATTAATTTCAATAGAATATTAGAACTCAAAAAAAAAACAGAAAAACAAAAAAATTATGTAAAAGCTTTTGTCAGATATACAGATGTCTGGAAATTAATGCAACAAAATTTGGTAATAGATTCTTAAGATTAATTTAGGGGATCCGTATTTTTTCTTTTTGCCAAGTGGCCCCTCTTTCGGTGTTACAGCCCCCTGAAATCTGCCCCAAAGAATAGTCTTTTACATCTCAGAACTCTGTTGTACAAGAATCACTAACCTTGGTACACTTTTTGGCGGGGAACCCCCTTAAGATACTTTGTCTTTAGAACTAAAAAAATTTGGTCGCAAATTTAAATTTTTTGAAAATTATTAGTTAGCTAGAAAGCCATTCAATTTAGAAACTCTTTTGTCCCTTGATATGTTGTTCGTAAAATACAATGTTTTTGAGGAAAATGGCGAATCACGATATGCACTCGATCACATTTTAACATTTTTCTCGAAAACATTAGGTACATTTTATGAAAAAAGTATCAATACAAAAATTTAATGGCTTTCTAGGGGACTAATAATTTTTAATAAATTTAAATATGCGACCAAATTTTTTTGGCTTCAAAGACAAGGGGGCCCACGAAAAATTGCAGTAAGGGGGTTCCCCACCAAAAAGCGTAACACCATCAGATTCCACATGTCACAAAACCCCTGTGTACCAAATTTAGTGATTCTCGTACAACAGGATTCTGACACATAAAAAAAAACATTCTTAGTGGCGGATTTCAGGGGGCTGTAACTCCGAAAGAGGGGGCCACTTGGCAAAAATAAAAAATAAGGATCTAAATTTGTCTTAAGAATCTGTGACCAAATTTTGTTGCATTAATTTTGGGACACCCTGTATAAAAACAAATGAAATTATAAATTAGATGGAAATAACAAAAATTAAACATTTTTATTCCAAAACTAATTTGGCCATTAGATGCAGAAATATGTCATAATTAAAGCTATGTTCGTCGAAATTAATCTTTGTCGAAAATAATTAAGAATTTTAAGCAAGAAGTTACAATATCTTATAATTCAAAATTTTGCAAGGGTGGAAAAAACAATTTCTGATAAAAAAAATAATATCCTGGATCCAAAGGCATCAACGGGAAAAGGGTGTTTTTTTTTTTCACCAAAACTGCCAAAGATGTGTTGGCAAAAGATAAAGGTCTATGCTATGTTTTAACTTAATATTTGAAAAACAACATAATTATGAACAAAAATCTTTTATACTATTCGTTTTGACATCCATATTTTTAAAAGGAAGTGCGTAAATGAAAAATACCATTAAGTCCCATTATTTTTATTTTTACCAAAAGTATGTCTGGTTATCGGTTTGATTTACTCTTTTGTAATACCTGTACTAACTAAAGGAAAACTACTATTTTAGTACGGAAATTTATAAAAAAAACATGAAAATTTCTTCTCTTATCCGATTGCCAAAGAATTAGCCCTCTTCAAGAATAATTGCTGATAGTCAGCGTGCTGATGTCAGTATTTCTTTTCACGAGTCTTTAATAAGCAGTAGGAAGAACTTATCTGTTGCCATATATGTGGTCTCATACTACAATATCTAGCTGGTCAGGTTTGTAAACTGAAAAAGTGTATTCATCAGGGGACTGTCAGCGTCTGTACGAAAGGCGACTTTCTTTTTGAAATATACAAGTTTTAATTAATTTTGTTCCTATTTTGTACGCTATCACGTTCATCTTTCATGTAATCCGAATGAAGAAACTAATACCGAGTGTTTTATTAACAGGGAATCAACTCGTTCTAATCTGAAGCCATACTTGAATGCCCAACAAAGATCTGCTACTCTACCTGCTAATACATCTATGAGCAGCAAATGACAATTAAAGTAACCCATTACTGAAAAATCCCATTCATTTACAAAGCGCTTTTTTCTTCATCACTAATTTATTTGATACAATCTGTGATATCTATCTCGTTGCAAGTTTGTATCAGAACATCTTGTTAAATATTTAGATAGTCTATTTACAGAGGCACTAAAGTTCTTAATTAGAACATAATCATGCATTGTAACATAATTGAAAATTAGTATTGCCTAGTTATTCTAATCGAAAGCTTCACGGTTTCCTGAATAATGGAAAAGTTAGGTTGCTGTTTTTTTTTAAATTAGAATTGTTATTTAGTCTAGTAAATAGAGTTGCGATTAAATTCGGTTTGGTTTTGTGTTTCATAAATCTTAGTAATGCTCAAGTCTATCTTATGAGTGCCATGCAACTGGCAATTTAGAACTTGTAAAAAAATTAAAACTACTGTGACACCAGCCTCAGGTGTAGACGATATTACCTCTAGTCTATGAAATTGTTTTGGTGACATTTTGAGTACTCTGGATTAATACTTTTATTTTGAAAATGAATGATGAAAATTTATATTGTACTCCTGTATTAGAAAGAATGTAAGAGGATTTTGTGACTGATTAATGTGAGGTATATGGAAGAAATGAGGAATTAATCAAAATCACAGTGCACACTTTTAGTGACAATATTGGTTTACTAGACTATCTTTAGTAATCTGCTAGGAAAAAGGTGCTAATGATGTTTCGTTGAGGCTAACATTTATTCTACAGAACTGTAAATAATCATACGGCTTTCTACGTTTGTTCTAAAGAGAATATTCTAATTTCGAATTACATACCTCTGTATGTTTTCTCAAAAATATCTCAGTAAGTACACTTTAAGTAATAAACAAATTCTTTTTGGGACAAATGTGTTTTCCCAGAGTGAAATAAGAAGTGTTTCCAGTCGCATTTTGCAGTATGTATTAAGTTTATACGAATTAAAATTACATATCATTATAAGTAGTAAATTTTTAATTTCTTCGTTAGTATAATAGGCTTGAAAATATTTACAATATTTTGAAAATACTTCGACACTCTGGGGCGTTTTATCATGACATTCCTTAAAGTACAGTACTTTATTTAATTTTGTATATTTTTTTGTTGTTTGTTTTGAATTGTACAAAATATTTTAAAGAAAAAATGGATTAATGTACATGTATTTATTATTCTACCTATAAAATCCCGTTTCTTTAAGTCAAATATAAGGATATTAGTGATCACGAACTTTCCCAAAAGGTCCCCGTATTGTAAAAGGAAACCACTTTAAAATATTTGTACCGATCATTGAGTTTGGTTAAATGAGTTAAAGGTTAACTAACATTTGACTTTTTGAATTGGGTGTTTTTTTTTATCATGCAGTGTGTGCCTTATTCTTTTTCTTTTAGTAGTTGATACTTTTGTATGACTACAATAATTTAAAAAGTGATTTTGGTGATGTAATGTAGGTATTAAGATTTTTGCCTTATGTACACAAACTATAAACCAAAATGGACAATTGTAGAATAAATTGTTCTTATTTATTGATGATATTTTTCATTTTGTCCCTTAAATTTCACGTATTGGTTATAGCCCAGTAAATGAAATTTGTGATACATGTAAATCAAAAGGTAGTTCGTTTCAGATTGAAACTTGGTTTAATCGTTAATTTAGGCAAAAAAATAATATTTCCCAAAAAGTATCGGTTTAAAACAACAAGATCATTGTTTAAACAATGATTATAAAAATTACCAAAAATGGAGTTTTTTAGATGTACTAAAAAGCGCTTCATTTGAGACCTGCTAAATTAATAGTATATTACGTAATAAGTGTTGTAAAAAGCATTTTACGCACGAATTGAAAAGTTACGCACGACGCTGCGTAGTGGCGAGTGCGTAATTGCATTACACCACGTATTACGTACTATACTTTACCTACCTTTTTACCTAAAAAATTTTTTTACAAAATAAATAGTTTATAACAAATTAATAATTAATTATTACAAAATGGACCATGCAGTTGTTATTATTTTCGTGCGCTACCCCAGATTAAAAAAAACATTAAAATTGGTCCACAATTACCAGAGATATCGCTAAATTTTCGGGCAGTTAAGATCTGAAGCATTGGAACGTTTCTGTCTTATTTCCTCCTCCACATTCCAGGTGTAAAAATGTATTCGAGGACATTTTTTAGAGGGTTTAAAATTACTATAAAATGCATTTTTTGCGATATATTTAACCGTTATTATGAAGTTTAAGGGTTGATTGATTTATTCCCGAAATTTCAAGTCTTATTGTTAATGTTTATTCCCGAAATTTCAAGTCTTATTGTTAATGTTTATAAATAAACAAGTTATGAATTAAAAAAAAAACGCTTTCTCGGCTAAAAATGGTCCTAGAACAATTTTTTTTTAAATTCGTGGAAAATTACCAGGATTGCGAATATCAAAGTGGCTCTAAAAAATATTCATTCTTCGCAAAATTATTATCGAAAAACCTTATAAACAAATTACACTATTTGTTTATACGCCGTTTTGAGGAGGTTAGTCTATGAAATTACAATTTCCAATCGCATATTTTGAAAATATTAGTCAAGACGAAACAAATGAGCCCTCATAAAGCCCTTTATTATAACGTTAACAACCGCTTTCTTGCAATTGAAAAAATGCTATTTCTAAAAAACAGATGCAAAAACTCGTAAACACAAATATTTTTTTACCAAATTTTTAGGGTTTCACAGAGCGTAACAAAATACAACTTTTACTGCAGTTTAGAGACGATTTATGCTCTTTTCCTCTATTTATAGCAAATTCAAATTTCGCTGGTTTTTTGCAATTATTTAAACAAATTGTTAATGGATTTTAATTTAGCAGGTCTCAAATGAAGCGTTTTTTGAAAACAAGTATAAACAAAAGCAAAAACTGTTGGAGAGTGCTTTTTAATACAGCTATAAAACTCCATTTTTGGTCATTTTTACATAATAATCATTGTTTAACTCTTTCAGGCACAGAAATTATATTACTTTTTTTACTCAAGCGTCACAAAAAATTAAACTATAGCTTTTGTGAATTATAATGATTTTATTGTAAAGAATACTTAAAACTAAATACATTACAGCTGATTTTGTGATCGTGTGTTAGCTCACAGACTCCTGGGGGGGGGGGGTGGTACAGGGTCTGTAAAACTATGGCTGAAGGGAAATGATTGTTAAATAATTTTTAAATGTAGGTACTTAAAAAATTCTGGTACAAAATATGTACCACCAAGACCTGGAGGAATAAAAAACGGTGGTACATTTTATGCACCACTGAGACTGAAAGAGTTAAACAATGATGTTGTTGTTTTAAACCGATACTTTTTGGGAAATATTATTTCTTTTTGCCTAAACTAACGATTAAACAAAGTTTTAATTTGAACGCAATTTTTTAGGAAATTTTTTTCATTTACTAGGTTATTAACAAAAAGTTACACCTAGTCACTTGTTATAATTAATTATATTTTATACCTACCGAAAAAAGGTTTTTTCCTTTTTTTAGTTATTGAGCATTTTGGTAGATGTTCAATTCTAGCTTCTTCTAAATAGTTTGTAACAAAAAGTCGGTTTAAGAGATTATTTATTTAAAAATATATGGTATATGATAAAAAATTTGTAAATACAATCAAATTGCTAGAAATACATGTAAAATAAAATAAATAAGTCTATAAATACAGTATATGTATATCAAGTATAATGGAACTAAAGTAATGACTATGTCTACACTCTAAAATAAGCCAACTTTCTTTTTCATTTCCTGCTGCTTCCAACGTGGTAGTTTTTCAAAGTCCACATAAGGCATTTTGAATAATGATACAAAATCGTCATGAGTTAAATGCAACTGGAAACATTTATTAATTTTTACACAGTTATAGCATTAATTTGCTATCGTCTTTGATACTTACTTCTTTATTTAATGGATTTATCCTTGCCGGGAGCTTGTCATTTGACTCTTTCAATATGTTGACTGGGTATTTATCGTACTGATCAAATTCGCTGTGGCCTGATATATCGTGGTGGTTGATTCCATTACTTTCCTTAATAGTAATATTTGTGTTTTTCATTTCAATTTCTTGCCTTATTTTTGAAAAAGTCTTGTACAGCTAAAATTTCAAAAATTATAGTAAGTGTTGTAGTCAGCTTAAATCCTTCAAACCTTCCAAAATTTTTTATCCCAAGATGGGAAAAATCCTCTGAAAGTAGGCGGTTCTCTTTCCTGTTTAACGTGTATTATGGCTATATTCATGTCTCGTCCTGCTGGATCTAAAATTATTTGATTTGATATTAGTAAATAGTATCGTTAAGTGAGAACAGTATTTCTCACTCAACGATAGTATTTATATTTTAAGTTAGAAGGTACCTGTTTGCAAGTATTCAATGGCCGTTTGTATACTCAACCTCTGTTCCTCCCTTGTGCTTAATTTTCCAATCCACATGTAAACGGAATCATTTGTATCTAATAGCATCACATGTTCTGGTATCAAATCCTTTTGGGTAAAGAAGACAATTTCTTCAGCTAGAAAAAAAAAGTGTTTTGTTTTTAACACGACAGAACTCTCAAATAAGGAAGGACATTTTTCAAATAACATTTTATTAAAAACTCAAAAATAACGAAAATAAAAAACTAATCGAATTTATTTTTCGCACAAGCTATCACTCGGGTATCCTAGACTTGTGCATGTTGTTAGGTAGGAGTTTTTATTTTAAGGTAAGATGTAAATCTCTTTGATAAAAATCACGTAGAATACAGTGGGGTGATTTTGGAAGCCATGGTATTAGCTTAATTTGTTGGGAGCAGATGGAACGACTTTATTTGTAAATTACAAGGATTGGGTTATATTTAAAGGCATATCCTCAAGTTGTTTAGAAAACTTTATTTTGCAAACAAAAAATAAAACGCCTGAACTTGCTGTGCAATATCCGGTACTTGTTATAGGATTTTCTTCAACAATATCTAAAGCATTTTCTTCGACCTGCAAGCACTCTTGGGTGGTTTTGTTCTTCCAGCATTCCCATCCCTATTTTTCTGTAGGTGGCCTGTTTCTTGAGCCCTTTGCGCGATATAAGTAAACCTAGCTACTGGATGAAACCGCAAAGAAAACCGCTCCAATCGCAATGCTATGACATTGTTAAAACTCTTGCAGTTTGTCTTGGATAAGTATCTCTTTACTGACTCGATTACTTATTTTGTAATTACTTTTTCAAACGAGATATTTTAATCCGGCTCGAAGGACCAAAACTGTGTTTATTAATTTTAACATATAATATGCGTTTTGTGCCGACTCAGAACAATTCCTTAGCAACATGATACGAATAAGGAAGCACAAACTTTGTCTTTCAGAGAGGTTAACTTTTTTGCATACACACACCTCATATTACCGTCGTGCATTGCTCTATTTGCTAAATTTGTTTTATTGAGTTCAATGACAGATAGAAATGAAAATCCCCAACTTAAAAAGCATCCTGAATTTTGAAACATACCATGGAATATTCCACTTGTGGAACTACAATGAAACAGCCTTGGTGGTCTTGGATCACTATCATTTTTTATCATTTGGGTAGTATAAGGGGACCTACCCCCAAGTAAATTGAAGAAATCGTCTCTCTCTTTTCCTAAAAATAAGTTTTCATAATTACAACTATACAAGTGATAAGCTGAAATATGGTACCTTCTAGTACAAGTTCAAAATCTTTTCCTGCAAATCCTTTAGCCATCTCTCTTTGATCACCAGTTGAATAGTTGCCGGACCAAATAAACAACTTCTTTCCTCTTTTTAATACAAAGCAATAATTTGAATTAAGCGAGGAGGATTTAAGGCTGACTTGAAACGCTTTACTTGAATATGTAGTGGATCCGAATACTTGAATAAGATATTGGGAAGGATTCTTGAAGTTTTTTCCCGAATCTGCGAAAGGTACCCGACATTATGTTAATTCATATGAAAAGCTTATTAATTACCATCATATTCAATTCCCTTTCCTTTAAAAACAATCAGTTTTCCTTTGAATAACTGCAGAAAATGCGCTGTTTCTCGGCCTTGAATTATCCTTGCTTGAAATCCCAACTGACCTAATTCGTCATCAATTTCATTTAACTTTAGAGTCGTGCTATTTATTTCCTCTTGGCCTGCATGTAAACCCTGGAAATACAGTTATTAAAATTTGAAAGACAGTAAGGGTAGGATACGGGTTGTATCTCGTTGAGACAAACGCAAAAGTTGACTGGAGGATCAATTTTGACGGTCATTTTCAGATTGTTCTTATGCTTACAGTTTTAAAATTACAAAGTTCATTTGTATCGTCTTAAAAATTCATCCGTTCGAATTATGAATGGAAAAATCTTTCACTTCGTGTCAATTTCTGGGATGAAGAACAATTTTCTACTTACCAGCCAACAATAGAGCAAATGCTTTTGTTCAGAAGAAGTCTGATAAGTGTACAAGATAATGTAACAATCGCCCGAGAAAAAGTAGCCGTGACGCTCCTTGGGTATTTCGACGATGTGCGACTGTTTTATCCGCCAAATTGTGAGACTTCCGGTTCCGTCGTCTATTAGTTGCGTTTCAGCAGCGAGGCTAGGACGGTCCTCCATCGTCAGGGCGTCGTATTTCGACACCAGGATCGAAGGCTTTGCTCCTGAAATGAAGTATTCCTATAAAATAAGGTATCTGGAAATTAAGTCTATGCTAGACTTTAATGAGAATTCGGAATCGCAATTCCCATTTTGGATATTAGGCCAGGAAAAAGAGCTGGGAAATGACCATTTCGCGACTTTTTGTTTCGGCAAGCTGAATTTGTCACTATTGTACATGCTAAATATTATGTACAATAACATATTAGTTTGCACAGTCATAAAAGTGGGGGGAAGATTGTTTACAGGGTGGTTAATTACAGAGTCGGAAAGTCCCCATGGTTCATCGACCGTTACGTGAGAGCGATAAAGCAAGTCATAGAAATCCGTGCGATAGAGAAAGATGGCTATAATGAAGGCATCTAATAGTCACCGCCCATTTCGCCCTTCCACAAATAAGAAGTGGATCTTATTTGTGGAAGGGCGAAATGGGCGGTGATTATTAGACGCCTTCATTATAGCCATATTTCTCTATCGCACGGATTTCTATGACTTTCTTTATCGCTCTCACGTAACAGCCGATGAACCATGGGAACTTTCCAACCCTGTATATAATTTTTACGTAAATTCACGTTTTTTGCTTATAACTTTTCTCCGTTCATTTCCACGAGAAAACAGTAAAGTACTTTTTTTTCGTCTTTGAAAGACCTACAAAACTAGCCTTCGAGCGTCAAAAAATATTGATTAAATCAAAAGTTATAAACAGAAGAAGTTTAATTATGACTTTTGAATTAAACATTTATAACTGCGTTATTATTACCAGAACGTGTTGGCATCGCATTCTCTCATTCCTTATCACTGTTGGTGTTGCCAACTGTGACGATCTTTCGTCAAAGTGATAATTTTTTTTATGAGGAAAAATTGCTATTGACGAATTGACGAAGAATTTACTCTCGTGACGATTTTTCTTTCGAAGTACATTAGTGGACATTAATGTTTATTTATAATATTTGTATTTCACTGTTGTGTTGTGGTTCATAAAAAACCCAACATTATGCCAAGAAATTGCATTGGCAATGGCAAATTTTTTGAGGAATTGTATTTTATTAATGTTAGAGAGGCATGGAGTGAAAACAGAACAACTTTATTAGTTGGTTCTGTATCTGGCATTTTTACGCCTTTGTTAAAAAAACATGTAGTTATTGATATAGAAAGACAATGGAGAAACCTAAACCTACCTTATCATTTTGATGATGAAAAAATAAAATGAAAGAAATGCCGGTTGCCGAGTTTTGGGAATTTTTATTTAATGTTTCCAATTTTAATGGTAAATATTTATTTAGAAATATAGCCTACTTGGCTAAATTAGTTCTGACTCTGCCCCATTCCAATGTAGAGGCTGAACGCATATTTTCTATAATGAATGATGTTAAATCGAAAAAAAGAAATAGAATGGGAGAAGATCTATTGAACTCTATTTGTGTAGTTAGATCAAAGCACCAATCAACTAATATAAGTAATACCATGACTACCACAGTCTATGAGTGACTACAATGTAGCGCAACAACATATTGATGTAGGTAATTGTATAAACATAAAAAGTAAGAATTTGTTTTAATGCCAATGAATTGAGTTAAATTTTTTTGTGCAATTTTTACAAAAGCAATTTTTAATCAGTTTTAAGCTTAAATATCCTTCCTTTTTTTACAATATAACTATAGAAAAAGTGGCTTTAATTTTTTGTTCTATTTTAAACTGTTATTTGTTTCAGGTTTATATATTTTATTTCTTTTAATAAAGATTATAGCGGTTTTATTTTTGTTTTATTTCAAATTTGTTAATAAAAATACTAAAAATAGAACATTTTATTACATGTTTTAAAATCAGTTTATTTAAACAATATGCAATAAATTTCAAATTTGCAGAGGGTGACGAAATGTGACGTATTTTAAAGATTGTCATGAAGAAATTTGCGTTCTGGAGGTTGGCAACATTGATCACTGTCTAATAACTCACACGAAATCTGGAATCGGTAAGTTGAATAGTTTACAAGTTATGGCCTTATAAACAAATTAACTAATTATTAGTTTGGACGATTCCTAGCATATTCCACAATCACGCTGTTTTTTTTCAGGGTAGATTTCATAATAATACATTGAAATCTATATATTTTTTTTAAATTTCAAAGCAACCAAGAAAGTTTTTTATTTTTTAGCATTAGTTGCAAAATGAAATATATGATGCACGGTGATATAGTTATATCTTATTACATATTCGGAAAGCTTATGAATAGAGCTTTAAGTTAAAAAAATCGTCAAGTTCGTTGAAAAACAACGAAGTTACAGATTGTCAAAGTTGACGGCCTATTGTTAAACAAATTAGGATGGTAGCGGCAAAGAAAAATACTGTCATAACCGGCATCCCGAGTACTTTCCCGGAAGAAAATATTTTATTTGTGGAAGTATGTTAAGTGCATAAGAAATATTGTCAAAAGTCAGTGGGTCGCTTGATTTTCCGTGAACCGTGGCGCGGCGGAAGGGTGGGGGAAGCGAACGACAGCAAGTCCCAAGAAAATGACGATAAAAAAGCGAAAATCGCTTGAAAATAATATATTTGACAGTCTGTAATTCCGTTGTTTTTCAACGAATCTTGACGATTTTTTTAACTCGAAGCTCTTTTCATAAGCTTTCCGAATATGTAATAATATATAACTATATCACGCGCGTGCGTTTAAGATTAAAAAATAAAAAAAACTTTCTAGGTTGCAAATTTGAAATTAAAAAAAAAATGATAGATTTCAATGTATTATTATGAAATCTACCTTGAAAAAAATCAGTGCGATTGTGGAATATGTTCGGGATCGTCCAGACTAATAGTTAGTTAATTTGTTTATAAGGCCATAACTAGTAAACTATTCAACTTACCGATTCCAGATTTCGTATGAGTTATTAGACAGTGATAAGGAATGAGAGGATGCGATGGCAAAACGTTCTGGTAATAATAACGCAGTTTATAAATGTTTCATTCAAAAGTCATAAATAAACTTCTTCTGATTATAACTTTTGATCTAATCAATATTTTTAGACGTTCGAGGACTAGTTTTGTAGGTCTTTTGAAGATGAAAAAAAATACTTTACTGTTTTCTCGTGGAAATGAACGGAAAAAGTTATAAGCGGAAAATGTAAATTTATGTAAAAATTATACAATTAACCACCCTGTAACCAATCTTCCCCCCATTTTTATGGCTGTGGATACTAATATGTTATTGTACATAATATTTAGCATCTATAGTGATAAATTCAGCTTGTCGAAACAAAAAGTCGCGTCCAACTCTATATTTCCTGGCCTATTAAGAGAAGAAAGTAATTTAAATTTAAGACGTTTTAAGCATGGAAGTGTCAAATTTCAGTTTGTATCACATAATTGGCCTAACTTTATTCTATTGTTTTAAGCTAAATAATAGATATTTCAAGGTATAGAAAAATATGAGTAAATTAAACAACATATTTTAATGTAATTGTTACCAGTTCATTGCTTGTCCTCAATCTATCTAAGCTAAGTGTAGAATTTGGAAGCAGAATTTATTAGTAGTATTTAGATTTAGTAGTAGAATTTATTAATAACACTAATTTTAAACAAAAGAACGCACTATTGTTGTCCACGGTGAAAATGCGTGGAATTGCTTCAATTTTCTCCTCGTTAGGGTCACTAGCATTATTTTTAAAACAACGCAGTTCATAATGGAAAAAAGCACCTAAGTGTGTCACTAACAATAGTCCATTCCGTGAGATCTTGCACATTACATTATTCACGCTTGACATATTAGACAGAAAGGGATCACAACGACAACGACCAGCCGTCAACCGATGTCTTCATACACGAGTTGCGGCTTATTGAAATTAGATATTTTAATACACGGATGCGGTCATTGACGTGTTCACATTTCAGTGAACCTTACAGGACTAAAAAAAAATGAAGTGAAACTTAATATCCCGTCAGTATATTCGAGTTGTCGGCAGAGCAAATACAGGTAAGCAGTAAAAATATCTGCGGATTACTTGATCTGCTAATCTGATGAAGAAATGTAACCTTAACCTTCATATACAGGGCTGGAAAATCCACATGGTCCATCTGCCTTTACATGACAGCGACAAAGTAAAGTAAAGAAATCCGTGCGATAGACAAGGATGGCTATAGTGAAGACGTTTCATAATCTGAATAGTCACCGACCGTTTCGGGTTAGAAGTGGGAGTGACTATTCAGATTATGAAACGTCTTCAATGTAACCATCCTTGTCTATCGCACGGATTTCTATGACTTACTTTATCGCTCTCACGCAGCGGCCGATGTACCATGGGAACCTGTGTATCTAAATGGTTTAGTTTTCGTTTCGTTATTTTAGAAATTATTAATCGAATGAACGGGTTTTGAAAATGGTGGAATCGAAATTACGGTGTTAGTTTTTAGCTTTTTGGTTATTTTACGTCGGCCTATTTCTGCAACTATGGCTAAACACCGACGCCAAGAGACGAGCAACCCGCAGGAAATTTTGCTGAATCCCCACTTTTCTATACAAACAGCGCCTAAATTTGTATAGCTTCTGTGAACATACAGACCACTAGTAGGTGGACGAGCATCGCGAGCCTTCTCCGGATGATTACCCATCCAACTACTAACCGCGATTAGCGTTGACTTTTCATATCAAAGACATGAATGCCCAGTTACTAGGCCGTATTCACTCCAATTACGGGTTTGTTTTTTTTTAGTGTCTGTAAATGTTATATACATATAAAAAAACTGCGAAACAAGAAAGCTTCCCAGTGCTAGTATAACATCTGAACGAGCTCATCTACAGAATAAGTAGAAAATTATTTTTGTTTTATTGAAATATCCGTCATAGCTTGAAAACAGATGAAAATCACATAACAAGTTTATTCTTATTATTTTGACGTGTATTCATGTGAGTTTGGTGCGATTCTCCCGAAACTGAATCAATTTCCGCTATTTTTTGTTTATTTATTCGTACTACAACAGTGTTAAATTACACAGGCTGACAAGATTTTAACCCAACAAGATGAACATACTTTCCCAAAGGATTTTTGACATATTTGAGGTTATGTTACATGGAAAGGTATTTTATTTTTTGTGCTGAAACCATTAATTTAATACGCGTTTGGATTTGCCCCGATATCATTTTTCGTTTTTGATAAATTGCATGTTGGAATGTAGTAGATTGACAATTTCTCGATTTTTGGAGTTGGTGTAGGTTTGGATTTTATGGGCTAAGGGTTTATAGGCTTAGGGTTTATGAGTTCGGGAGCGTATTAATGTATTTCCAAACTGATATAGTACATGCATAAAATCGACCATTATATCAAATTTTTAGACATTTTTTTTAAGTTTATCGCAAAATTTGAAGTGATAGAGTATTTTGGAGTTCAGATTCATCATCAGCGACCCCAAAAACATGTAAGATCCCTACTACCGGGTGCCAATGAATTTAGGTTGTCATATTCAAAAATCGAGAAATAAGACAAACTACTAAATTTCAACATGCGATTTCTCAAAGACCAAAAGCGATATCGAGATAAAATCAAGTGCGTTCTAAAGAGTAAGTTTAGTACTTTAAGATCAAAATATTTCGGAAAAGTACATTCCGGTTTCTGGGTTAGAGTCGGCCAAATTTTGTCGGCCTGTGTTATGTTTGCCATATTTATATATTTAATTTAGGTATGTTTTTATTTTGATATACCAGACGTGTTCAAATTTAGCTATTTGTTAATTAAGTTGAGTTTAAAAACCGAATGTTTCTTCTGTAAAACAAAAGAAAACTATAATCATCATTATGCAATAATTACCTCCAAACTATAAAAAAGGGAGATTTGACGAGATATTTTTAGGCAAAAGTGTTATTGTAAGAGAGTATACAAGTTTTTTCAAAATAGTCAGTCATTTTTTAAATAAACAGATAAACCCCCCATCTACACCACTGATAATTGAAGTACATTACTAGCATGATGTAAATAATAAATGCAAAAACTGTATCAACGCTTTTGAAATTAAAAAAAAAGTTTTCCACAAAATTTGAATGTCTTCTCGTATATCTCGAAAATAGTGCGTGTTTATATAAACTTTTTCAATTCGCGGGATGTTCAGTATTTAATTTTATTAATTAGACTATCTGTTATCTGTTTTGATTTGGGTGAATCGTATATCCACGGAGATTTTTGGCTTTTTGGCTTTCAAATATCACTAGAAATGAAAATTTTTCTATGCGCATAAAAAAAACGTGGGCTTAACTTTTGGCGGCACAATATGTTAAAAAAATTCGAAAAATGTCATATTTTTCTTCCTATTTAATTATGTATCTTTTCAAGAGTTGATTTTAGGCGAAAATGGAAGAGGAAAAAAATGTTTGTAATTAAATTTTTTACAAAACATGACTAGTTACAAATCGAATGAATCATGATTATTATGGTAAAAATCGAAAAAATCGCAAAAATGGGGTTAAAAAACAATACTTTTTAGGGAATTTTTTTGGGGTATTTAAATTGGGTATAGGACCTTTATACTTGGCTCAAGAAAACTTCATGTTATGTAGAATCATCACACCAAATTTCATCAAAATCGGTTCGATAGATTTTGCATAATAATTTTGCAATCCAGATTAAAAAAAAATTGCAAATTTTCAAAATTTTGCACAGCAAAAACCAAGGCCCTTAGATACTTGAAAATTTAATCACATATAGAAGGGCTCTCAAGCTTTCAAACTTTTTTTGAAAAATTCGAATCCGTCAATTAGGAGAGCTCTGGCGCTTGTTTAAACATTGGTCGAATTTTTGTACTTATAAACAATTAGAACTTTGTGAATATTCAATCAAATCAAATTTTTTAAAGCAGGTTTTAAAAGTTCTTGGAAAGACGCTTTTTTAAAAAAAAACAGATCGATTGATCAATTAGTTACGTAGTTATAGCCGTCATTTACACTAAATGTACTGGGACATCCGGGCTAATTTTTCGAAAAATACCTTTGGTATTCCGAGTACTTACCAGGTCTAAGATTACAATACTTTTCTTCATTGGCAACCTACTTTAAAACGTGTTTAAAGTTATTTATGCAAGCGAGAAATTCAAGAAAATCATACGGGTGGTGGTGGTGGGGGAAGCAGAGAGCGCGGCCGCTTTGGCCTGCTCGAAATTGTATCGGCTATAACTACGTAACTAATTCTGTTTTTTTTTAAAGAAGCGTCTTTCCAAAAACTTTTAAAACCTGCTTTAAAAAATTTGATTTGATTGAATATTCACAAAGTTCTAATTGCTTATAAGTACAAAAATTCTACCAATGTTTAAACAAGCGCCAGAGCTCTCCTAATTGACGGATTCGAAATTTTCAAAAAAAGTTGTAAAGCTTAAGAGCCCTTCTATACGTGATTAAATTTTCAAGCATCGAGCGGCCTTGGTTTTTACTGTGCAAAAATTTGAAAATTTGCAATTTTTTTCAAAATCTGGATTGCAAAATTATTATGCAAAATCTATAGAACCTATTTTGATGAAATTTGCTGTGATAATTCTACATATCATGAGGTTTTTTTGAGCCAAGTATAAAGGTCCTATACCCAATTTAAATACCCCAAAAAAATTATTGTTTTTTAACCACATTTTTGCGATTTTTTGATTTTTACCATAATAAACATGATTCATTCGATTTGTCATGTTTTGTAAAAAATTTAATTGCAAAAATTTTTTTCCTCTTCCATTTTCGCCTAAAATCAACTCTTGAAAAGATACATAATTAAATAGGAAGAAAAATATGACATTTTTCGCATTTTTTTAACATATTGTGCCGCCAAAAGTTAAGCCCACGTTTTTTTTTATGCGCATAGAAAAATTTACATTTCTAGTGATATTTGAAAGCCAAAAAGCCAAAAATTTCCGTGGATATACGATTCACCCAAATATGGCTTTTTCAAACAGATACCGTCTGGACTAAATGTACTTTTTCAGTGTAACGTTTACCAGCTCCTCTAAAAGTGTAAGAACGAGAAAGTGTTGTAATTGCTAAAAATGCGACCCACCTTTGGGATCGTCCTTCCACGACGAAAATAACATTTTAAATTCAACGGGCTCGTATCCATCCACAACTCTAGTGACCTTCGTGTTGCTGGGATACTTCTTTTTCTTTACGAAACCTCTGGCATTCCTTAAGGCCTCGCTTCTCTCCTTGTCGTTCGCTCTTTTACCCACCCAGACCCAAATTCCATTTACTTCGTGATCGACGATGAAAACGTCCTGAAACAATGAAACAACGATTAAAGATTGGTACACCCTTTAAATAACAAATATTTTTGTACTTATACGTAGTTATTTAACGATTTCAAAAAATATGCGTGTACAAATCGAATCGAATAAATCCTAAAAATGTTTTGTTTTTGATAGTTGATTTTAAATAAATATTGAATGGAGATATATTTTTAAAATACATAAATATTTGGTACCAAATAGCACATATGACTTCATTTCATGAGAATTTTATGAAAATTTGTTTGAATTGGTTCAATTGTAATTATATCAATGATTTATATGACAAAAGAGAATTGCAATAGACATTAAATGAAAATATAAGCATATAAGCCCATAGGAATAACAAAATTGTTTACTGAGTTACAAATTTCTCTTACTCACATCAGGATTTAAATCTGAGGGATGAAAAGGGCCGACACCGACTTCTGCCACTCTGTATTTTCCGTTATTTTCTGAACATTTATACAATTTTATAGAAGATCTTTGGTAGTTTCCATTTTCATCCCCATCCTGATTCTCTGGGAGGATCATTCTCTTCTCTAGTGGCAAATATTTGCTGAACTCTTTCCTCATATCATCAGATAAAGTTTTTTCATAACCATCGTCTAGGAATATGATGTTGTTGACTTTATATTCGTCTTTCAAGTCTGTTGAAATCTGGAAGCATTATGTAAAAGTAGTACAACTCAATTCAAATTAAACATAAAGGAATAACTTCCTAACGTTTGAAGAAGATATTTTCAAACACTCACTTTGGTTGCGTGTAATTTTTTGATGGCATTGGCTGCTCTACCAATCCAAACGAAGATGTTTTTTGGTGTGTGGATTATGAAGACATCGGAACTGTTGAAAAAGTCCCACGACAGTTTTGGCATTTCTGTCAATACCGGTATCCTCTTTCCCTTCACTCTGTAGAGCCTCGCTTGAAAATTTTGATTGTTCTGAATAAGCTCAGGTTTCAATATTCTAAAAAACAGTGTAAATAACTACTTAGATGGCTATTTTTTAAAGACTGATATCGAAATTTTTTTCTACACTATTATTTAAAATTTTTTGCAGCTTTCGTATACCAAATATTTGTAATATGAAAAAAAAGTATATATGTACATATACATAAAGTAAAAATGGTACTCTACCCAATAGACTTCAAGTATATACCTGGGGTGGTTCATAAGTACGTTTCGATGATACAGGGGGTGATTCCTCAGTTAATCTCAATAAAAAAGTTAATATGGTATATGTCATATGCGGCTTAGTTTCCAAGTTGCAGGGTGTTAAATTTCAGAAAAAGAAAGTGATTCTTGTCTATGTAACATGAACCGGAAGAGATAATTAATTGAAATATTGTATACCTACTGTGGGTACACATGTTCGCACGTGACCCCTTTTTAAGTACAATATCAAGAGCGCCAGCGAGGCGCCGCCCAGACGCACCAAGGTTCCCGGAAGACGACCCCGGCAGATTGGCGCCAAGGACCAGGTACTTCTGCCAGCGACTCCACACCAAGGGAGACTCTCCAGCGAACCCTCAAACCGACAACACGTCTTTTTCACAAGCTTAGTTTTCAATAAAAATACCTTATTTCTACCGTTGAGAGAGCGTTTTATTTTTGCTGTACAGCGAAGGCAACCCTCACTACTATTATAGTTCCTGGAAACTTTTATTTCTGACATCAAATATTTTATCTAATGGAGTACTTGTTAAGAAAATGGTACTCCACTGGTTTTTCCAAAATTTTAAGGCAAGTCTTTATAGTTTTATTAAAAACAGAAAATTAATTTTAACTCTTTTAAAATTTAGTTAGGAACAGTCGTTCTCAAACGAGTTGCGAAAGAATTAACTCGTGAAATTAAAATGTTTATACTTACCAAACATTATTATTGATAGTGTCCACTAATAACATTAACAGTCCTAATATACATATGTTTATCGTCTGACGTAGGTACTCGTCAAGAATACCGACAGTGCTTCAAATAGTATTCTCGCGATTCTCTTATGTGCTTTCTTAGACCCTACACATCGTCAGTCTACGTATTCGTATCAATGCTAAAATTTTCGACTGTTCCTAAGGAAGTATATAAGTCCAACGGCTTAGGGAGCCACGGTTGGCTGGTCTGAACCGCGTCTCTGCCTAAGCCTATCCAACTATTTTGATAAACTTCGTAAAGATATTCCCGAGTTACTAAACTGAAATGAGGTGGTGTTCCATCATGCATAAACCGCAAACGGTATCGCAAATTAAGTGGAACAACGGCAATAAGGACCGGCAATTGATTTTCTATAAAGCCGCTGTATGTATCATCTAATCTTAATGGAAGAAAGATTGGTCCAATAAGGTAATCTCCAATGATTGAAACGATTTTTGTCGCGTAAGAATTTTCATATGCCCTTTGACGGTTGTGCAAATTTTATATGGAATCATATGGGAATAATCTGTGCACACTGAATAGATATGGATAAAACTGATAATATTTCATAATCTTTCAAATTGTTTGGTCACCTACAATCAACAAAGCATCAATTTTTCAAATACTTTTTTTCCGTTTGGCCATAATATAGTTCATTAAAGTACGGCACTTTCTAAATGAGGTGTTGCGACTGTTTTAGGTTTTGCAATGACATCAGTACATATTACAAAATCACGAAAGTTTTAGTCTCTTATAGCCGTTGGTGGATGTTTGCACGAAGTGAAATTAGTGGGGACATCTATGCTAATAAATTCGATGTGCTTTGCTGCAAGGCCATAAACGGAACTTGTATCTGTCACTTCTGAATTTGTAAAGAGTGGCATCAATTTATAAAAATAGTAATATCTAGTTTCCTAAACAGCAAAAAATACTGATTTAAGATGTTAAAATAAATACTATTCGTAATTTTCAGAGCCCCCCTTTAAATATTATTTTAGCAAAATTTTAAGGGAAACTAATTTTTTTGTTTTTAATGAAACAATAAGGATATGCCTTCAAAATTTGAAAAAAATCAGTGACTTACCATTTTTTCTCAATAAATATACTTACATACCCTTACCTACGCCATTGGCGGTTTCCAAAATTATTTGATAAATCAGAAATGAAGGTTTCTAAGAACTACTGCAACGTACAAAATTTCATTAAATTATTTCTTTCGGTTTCTGTTATAAAGACAAAAATATATATTTTTTAATTTAACATCCTGTTTTCTTTCTTCAAAGTAATGTTGAATTACCTCCTTTATTATCTAAAAGTACGTAGTTAAGGACCATCCTATATGAAAGGTTTCTGTTCTAACTCAGCATTGAAATCTATTTTCAAAAAATACATTTCCTTACATTTTTCAGTGTGCATAGAATTTAATACGTATAATCAAAAAACATTTAACATTTAACGTGTGTAAGAGATTTTTTTAAGGTAATTGCTATAATAATTAAAAATTTTACGAAGAAGTACTGTATACCTACTTAGACTGACGACAAGAATATTAAAAGTGCTTTAATTATACAGGGAGTGTGTGTGTTTGTGGGAAATATTTTAGGGGGTGGTTGGTGAAGTTATTTTATAAAAAAAGTTTATTTAAACGTACGTCGAAATATGCTTCGTTTCCGAGATACAGTGTTTAAATTTTAATTTTTTATTTATTTTTATCAATTATTTCAAAGAGGATTGAAGATATTGATTCGAAATTTGAAAACCGCTTTGGAGGAGTAAATGTGTATGTTTTGGAGTGATCCGAATATTTCTACCTCCACCTTTAAATAAAAGATTAACAAAACATACAATCAAATATGTTTTATTTTTTTTCTCAAAAACGGTGCATCCTACGAAAAAAATTGACAGCGCCAACTTCATTCAGAATTGATGACGGATTTCTAAAAAAAATATCAAAGCAGGAAAAACCCAGTGGCGTACCATTTTTTTAAGGTTGTGGCATTCTCGCAATCTTTTTCTCAGAAACGAAGTATATTTCGATTTACGTTTATATGAACTTTTTTTCACAAAATAGCTTCAGGAACCACCCCTAAAATATTTCGCACTTATCTACAAATACCCTGTATAATTAAACAGTGCCACTATATTTTCATTCATAATATATGTATTTCAAATTAATATTAAAACACCTCCATTTATAGGTGTATTTTCATTTTTTAGAAAGAGTAAAGATTTTTTACAGTTAAGATAAATACTTATAGTTTGCTTATGAAACATATAATTGCACCTACTTTTAGCTTTTGAATTTCATGATCTACAGTCAAATTACGCTTTTTTGACAATTTTCAATTAACTCTGAAACTTAAATAGGTATGTTTTTAGATAAGTTACACGAGTTTATGAAAGAAACAATGAAAATTCACAGAATTGTCCCTAAAATGGAGACAGAACAGATTATGTGAAAATTCGCTCTTTACATTGTGATTATTTTTACAGTGGTGAAATTATTATCAACAAATTTGTTAAGAATTTACGCTTGTAACCAGTGACATTGTTTTCTGTGTACTTTTCAGTTTACCTTTGTATTAGCTTTTTCATTCGGTTCTGGACAAAAGTAGCACTGACTCAATAATGTTTGACACCCTGTACGTATGTTCCTGTTCTACTCATAATGTGTGAAAGGAGGTTGTTATATATTATGCAAACGTTCTAGTAAATATATCCACAAATAAACCACTATACCTTATAAATAAAGATATGGGTGTAATGCTCCAAAGAAACACAAAAACATGTCAACAAGTAACGCATATCCTTTAGTTCTAGTCAAGAATATATTTGAATAATACATAATTATCGAAATGAAACTGGCACTACCACTCAAAGACACAGGAAATAACCTAATAATTAAAAACAGTTTTTGCGTTGATTGTTGGTATATTTTTATTAATACATAAATTATTTTAAAGTTAATTATTCGTATTATTTTATTTTCTGAGGTTCTTTATAAAAACTTGGAATTACTTCCACTGGCTATACCTTAATTGCAATAAAATTTTTTGTTAAATTTTCTTTGTTTTTATAATGTTTACCATAACCTAGCCACCCTAGCTTTGTTAGTTTTAATAGTACACAAAAAGTCAATTGACCATTTTTATGTAGAATTTTATGCTCTACAACTTTTATAAGAAACTTTTCTTTCTAGCTCTTACTACTTTTGAGTTATCTTAAAAAACCACTTTATTTTAACTTTTTTCACCCCTGGTCAGGGGTTGAAAAAAAATTACTGTCGCTTATTCTTTTTATATACCTACCTCAAACTAACTTATATAAAAAACTTCAGGCAACTTGACCAAATTGCGATATAAAGGTCCATTTAATTAAACTATACCTAATACCTATGTGCTAGATATTAGTAGATTTTTTAGACCGACTGAACCAGGTTTATTCAAATTTAGAACATGTTACTGTTGCAAGTGTGTCATTTCTTTAATGCATTTCCGTTTTAACAGAGTTATAAACGCCGTACAGTAAAACATAAACACATATTATCTACCATTAAAATATAAACACACTTAGATGTTAAAACATAAACATTCTTATTTTGCTATTAATTACTCACCTGAGGCCATTCTTGAAGAAACTTAAAAATCTAGGACTTTCATTTCCCTCGGTCTCGCGATGTTGAGTTGTACAACAGTTCAGGAAGTTATCCAGTTCGACGGTTTTGTATGCTGCCACTCCAGATTTGTCTGGATTTGTGCGAGACCCCAGCCAAAAATGGATGTGGTACTCCATACAACCACCTTTCACTTCTCGAGTCTGATAATGGAAGATATAGAAAAAACTAAGGTAGGTATACAGGATGTGAAACAACAACTTGTCAAAAATAACAGAGCGTTCTTTTCAAATTTGAGAATAGTTTCATTGATGCATTTGCCCTGAAGCCTTGATGTTTAAGATAAAGGATAGTGGAGTTAAAAAAGATTGTCTAAAAATCTTCTAAGTAAATGAATTGAGTCGAAATTTTGTATGCTCAATGTATGAATCAGACGATGTGGAATCAATCAATGTGAAAAAATTAAATCTAAGGTCCAAAATATATATAAAAATTGATCACGGGAAAAAAATTTAAAAAAAAATCATTAGACCATTTCTGCTTTTAGAACAAGCTATTAAAGATCTTAATTACGTTCAGGATGATCAAAACAAGGTATGCCGCAAATTTTGTTCAAGAAATTCTCTGATGTTTCCATGTTTTCCATGTATATAGATAAATGGTAAGTTTTAGGGACTATCATTTCTCTAATTATTATTTATTTGTCAGTATCTTACATGTAAATATTCAACAAAATATGATTATATCAAAAGTACAGTACAGTATCCGCCATAAAATTTGCACCAAATGGGAAACATTTCCATTTACGGATTTAGAGAGAAATTTCTTCTAGTAATTTTTTAATTGTCTGAATACTAAACAAGGATAAACATGTGGGATTTTTGGTTTACAAGAAAATGACATTGAAAGTAACATTATTTGAAAAATAGGTGAAGTTTTTGGTCAATAATGTATAAACTAGGCTTTAAACTAATTTAATGCAATCAAATATAAAACATAACGACGCAGGCTGCAGAATCAAAGTGTTGCAGGAACGAATTTTTTAGCAAAGCAGCTCCCAGTAACAGCACCTCATAAATAAAAACCAATTACAATTGGAGTTTTAAAAAATCCCATGAAATTTGATACCCCCTGAGATTTTTCTGATGTTTCTAAATCTATTAAATTTCTTGAAAATTCCAGTTTTTTCAGATTACGGCAATGTTGATTTGGAATAAGAAGCATAAAACAAGGAATCTGAAGTGAATTTGTAAAATAATGTTTTTATTTCAAAGTCTGGTTCTAAATCTGATTTTAAATGATAGTGTTTTAATTATAGAGAACTGAAATTTAGTTTCTGTTCGTGAAAATTTAAGATTCTCTTTGTTTGTTATTTTAAATAAACTTTTTCCCGTTTGTTGATTTGTGTTTGTACATTGTGATCTTGATTATATAAATTTTGTTAAAATACTATTCAAAAATTTCATTTCATTATCCCAATTTTCAATTCAAATCACAAGTGGCCTCGCTTTTGCTGATATCCTTTTAATTTCTTTTGTATTTATTAACCTTTTACTACTTTTTGACTCTACCTACTATAATTCTTCATTTTTCTCAGCAGTGACGAAGCTTCAAAATTTAGGCCTCCCTATTTCCCCCTCCCAATTTCAGCCTTTTTCACAATCCCTAATTGAACCCAATTTCTTTTTTTTATGAAACTGGAATACCTAAGGGTTGGTTTTTCCACCACTAATTTATTTGCCAATTAACTTCTCATAAGAATTATATACAGGGTAGGAAAGTACCGATGGTCTATCTGAAGTTACGTGAGAGCGATAAAGTAAGCCATAGAAATCCATGTGATAGACAAGGATGGGTATAGTGAAGGCGTCTAATAGTCACCGCCCATTTCGCCCTTCCACAAATAAGAAGTGGATCTTATTTGTGGAAGGGCGAAACGGGCGGTG